TGCTCCAGGTGCATCCTTGTCAGCCACCCCAAGGTCCTTTCTTCTCCCTGAGAGGCCCAATGACAGTCAGTTCCCAGACTTCTGCTCTTCTAACCCAGAGGAAGGACAAGCAGTTCTGGGGAAAGCTTTCATTCTGCCCTGGGGCACACAGGCTTGGGAGCCCCAGTGAAGGGTGCTGCTACTGCCCTCTAGTGGTAGCATAGCGGTTTCTGCACAAATTCCCACCCTGGGAAAATGCTTGATAACACACTACATTTCAATTACAAAAATAATTTATTGCTACCCTGCTAGGCACTAGGGATACATAGACAAATAAAGCACAGTTCTTGCCCTCTAAGAACTCAAAGTTTAGAAAGTAAAGCGAACACTTGGGGCGCCTGGGCGGCTCGCCTCTGCCTCTGGCTCAGGCCACCATCTCAGTACTGGGCTCCCTGCTCAGCGGGGAGTCTGCTTCTCCCTCTGCCCCTTCTCCTGGTCATGCTCTCTCTCTCTCTCAAAAACATAAATAAAATCTGGAAAAAAAAAAAAGAAAGCAAACTCTTAAAGAGCTGGAATAGAGTGTAATGTCTAAGTTATAATAAAAAAGCCTCCTGACTTCTGGTTCCAGACAAAATGGGTTTAGACATATTTACTCTTACTTTTCCCACGAAGTAAAGCTAAAACCCCTGGACAGTCTGTGTAAACCAGACATAGGAAGACTCTTTTTTTTTTAAATATATATTTTTTTATATTTTTATTTATTTATTTGACAGAGAGAGAGAGATCACAAGTAGGCAGAGAGGCAGGCAGAGTGAGAAAGGAGGAAGCAGGCTCCCTGCTGAGCAGAGAGCCCAATGTAGGACTCGATCCCAGGACCCTGAGATCATGACTTGAGCGGAAGGCAGAGGCTCAACCCACTGAGCCACCCAGGCACCCGTGGGAAGACTCTTTGAGGCTGAGAGAAGAGGCAGACTTGCTAGCGACTTTGAGATGCCACGAATGACAGGGCAGTGAGTTTCTTGGGTTTTCTTTTGCCCTTTTATATCTGACTGGATCTTGGGGAAGCTCGTGTCCTAATACCTCAATGGCTGCAGCCCACAAAAAGCCCCAAGAGAAGTCTGCTTTCTCTAGTCAAAAGACAGGACAGGGGCAGACAAGACAGAAAACCTGTGGACATTAATCACTCCAGTCCAGTCAAATTCAAACAAACAAACAAAAGCCCCAAATAAATGATATCCCAGTCCCCTCAGCCAAGACTGAGTGGGAGCCTATACTTACCCGGTGCCAGGCATAAGGAGGTAGTGGAGATCCCTGAGGGTACCTCAACTCCTAAATCCATCCATTGGGAAGAAGATGCCCTCCCTGCCCTACTTGGGTTATGTCAGAGGAGGCACAGGGGAGAAACAGGACTCCCCCTCCCCACCCCATAACGCGGTTCCCCCACCTGCAGTGTCAGCGGAGGAGATCACAGAGTGTGTGGCGGGGAAGCAGCCCCACATTTTTCAAGTGATGGGAAAAAACAAACAAACAAAAAAAAAGAGCTGTCAACCCGGGATTCTAAATAAAGGAAAAATAAAGACGTTCTCAGATGAAGGAAAATTAAGGAATTTACTGCAAGCAGATTTACCCTAAAAGAATGGCTAATGGAAGTAGTTAAAACGGAAAAAACGGATAGAAGAAGGAATCTGAGAACGTTAGGAAGAAAGAAAGAACAATGGAAAGAGGAAAAGTATGGGTAAATACTTTTTTAAAAAGCTTTACTTTTCTTCTTTTTATAAGTTTAGTTTGATGGTTAAGGCAAAAATGATAACCAGTGTGGTTATCAATATTTACAAAGGAAATAGTTAAGACAATTTTAAGTGAGGGAGGGTAAGGGACTCAAAAAGAGGTAATATTTCCATACCATATTATAATTACACTTCACCGGACAGTGGTAAGTTATATGCACATATTGTAATACTCAGACAAAACACTAAAAAATCTAGACAAAGAAATACACTAACAAACAAAATTGATAAATCAAAATTTAATTTAAAAAATGTTCAACTGGGGGTGCCTGGGTGGCTCAGTGGGTTAAGCCTCTGCCTTCAGCTCAAGTCATGATCCCAGCGTCCAGGGATCGAGCCCCGCATCAGGCTCTCCATCCAGTGGGGAGCCTGCTCCCCCGCCCCCTGCCTGCATCTCTGCCTACTTGTGATCTCTGTCAAATAAATAAACAAAATCTTTAAAAAAATGTTCAACTGGGGCACCTGGGTGGCTCAGTCAGTTCATTGTCTACCTTCCACTCATGTCATGATCCCAGCATCCTGGGATCAAGCCCCTCGTCAGGCTCCCTGCTTGGAGGCGAGTCTGTTTCTCCCATTCTCTCCCTCTGTAATCTCTCTCACTCTTATTCTCTCTCGAATAAATAAATAAAGTCCTTAAAAAAATAAAAAAATTTTAAAATGTTCGTGAGGGAAGCAGGGGGAAGAACAGAAAACCAAACACCAAAAACCAAAACCAAACAAAAAAAACCCCACAGACAAAAAAATACAATGGTAGACTTAAGCCCTAATACATTACACACAGATAGTTTAAATACATCAGTTAAAAGAGACTGGCAGAACAGATTTTTTAAAATGACTCAATCTTTTGTCATGTAAAGGAACTCACTTCAATATAATGATATAGAAAGGTTGACAGAAAAAGAATGAAGCCAGATATACTATGCAAACACTCATCAGAGAAAGCAAGAGAGCTATATTAATAGCAGACAAAGTGTTTCAGAGCAAAGAAAATCACCAGTTATAGAGAGAGGTATTACATCGTGATAGAAGGGTCAATCCACTAAGAAGGCATAGCAATTCTAAAAGTGTATGCACCAAACAACAGAGATGCAAAATACATAAAGCAAAATAATGATAGAACTGAAAGGAGAAACAGACTTATCCACAGTTAGAGTTGAAGATTTCAACATTTCTCTCTCAACAAGTGATAGAACAGCTAGACAGAAAGCACAGACACAGAAGAACTAAAAACCACCACTAATCAACAGTATCTAATTGGTATTTTAGAACACTCCACTCAACAGTGGCAGAATATACACTTTTTTCAAGTGCTCAAGGAGCATATATGAAGATAGATCATATCCTGGTCCATAAAATAAACCTCAGTGAGTTTAAAAGAATTGAAATCATACAGAGTGTGTCCACCAAATCAATGGAATCAAACTAGAAATCAAAAATAGAAAGATAACACGGAATCTGCAAACAATGGGAAACCGAACAACACACTTAAATTAATCCATGAGTCAAAAAGGAATTCTCAAGAGAAATTTAAAAATATGCAGATATGTGGAAAAAAAAATAAGGTGTCCAAATTTGTGAGACACAGCTGTGCTGAGAAAATTTATGGCACTAAATGCGTATCTTAGGAAAGAGGAAAACTCTCACCTCAATAATCTACATTCTCACTTAAGGAATCTAGAAAAAGAAGAGCAAAATAAACGTAAAGCAAAACAAAGGAAGAGAGGGGCACCTGGGTGCTCAGTGGGTTAAAGTCTCTGCGTTTGGCTCAGGTCATGATCTCAGGGTCCTGGGATCCAGCATGGGGAAAAAAATCTCTGCTCAGCAGGGAGCCTGCTTCCTCTTCTCTCTCTGCCTGCCTCTCTGGTTACTTGTGATCTCTGTCTCTGTCAAATAAATAAAATCTTTTTTTAAAAAATGAAGGAAGAGAAAAAGAGCAGAAATCAATGAAACTGAAAACAAGCAAACAAAAATCAATGAAACGAGCTCATTCTTTGAAAAGATCAATAACCTCTAGTTAGACTGATATTAAAAAAGAGAGAGAACACAAATTACCTATATCAAGAATGAAACAGAGGTTTCACTGCAGACCCTGCAGACGGCCGGAGTCCTGCACTGAACCCACAGCTTTTACCAAGCCTCCCAGTGTCATCTTCATCATCTGAATTTTAACTCCCTGACAGCTCTGTGTATCTCCTAAGGGGACCTTGACCCAGGGTTCCCCCTTTCCTTGACCTTCCTACAGTATACCAAAAACAAACTCCCCCTTTGTCCTTAGACTCTACCTGAATATTCCTTTAACTTCTTGCCCTTTTGGAAATCTGCCTTCTTCTATTTGCAACAGGAAATACTTTTTAGTCATTAAATATTATCCCTCCCCCCTCTGACTATGAAACAAAGCAATACAGAATTATAGACAATTTAGAAAAGTGTTATATGCTTTTTTAAAAAATCAGCATAATGTCATCACCATCACAGACAACTTTCCGTCCAGTTTTAACAGTTTAAAAATATACACCTAAAAAAAGTCGGGGGTTCTCACTGTTTCGCGGTCCTTTTTTCATCTAGTGTTACCTATAAAAAGTTACATGATGTTCCTTCCCTTTAGGGTGTACTGTACTTGAGTCATTCGCACTTGCGCTGTTTTCCAGTTTTTCTCAAGTCAGATAACTATGATGTACGTACACGTCTTTTTTATTTGGATCTAATCACCTTCTTCAGAGAACCTCCTTGAAATCATCGGGGAAAAAGAGGTGAACTTTAAATTGTTGATAATTTTTTCTTAAGTTACAGAAAACGAAAGTCTTCATCATCGGATTCTACCCCATGGGCAGTCGAGGGTGGCTTCATTCCAGTTGGAGTAAGACCATCCCCAATGCCCTCCCAGTACCAACTTTGCAAGTTTTAGTAAACACCTCCCAGCAGCCCGCACCCACGCCTGCGCACAATCGCCCCGACGCAGGCCTCCTGCCCAAAAGGGAAACTTAAGGACACGCCCCCGAAGCGCAACCTCTTTAAATTTTAAAACGAAGGCCCAAGCCAATGAATGTTAAGTTTTCCCCGGAACACGGAGCCCGGCTCAGAGCCACGCCCTCCACCAATCAGGCAGAGAGCTTCTCCGCCTCCTTTCCAATCAGCGCCAAGAATGGAAGTTACTCACGTAAGCGACGTAAGGCAAGCGACCAATAGGAGCTGACTTTGGGGACCAACTCCGCCAATGGCAGGAGCACTTGGAGAGCGCGGGAGCTTTTCCATGAGAGCTCCTGAGGGAAGAGGTGAATGGCGTTGGTTGTCTGAAGCTAGAGCCGAGAAGAGAGCCGCGCGGGCCCCGGCCGGAGCCCCGGGGCGGCGGCGCGGCCGACATGGCCTGCTGTCACAACGTGATGCTGCTGCTGGACACCGCGGGCGGTGCCGCCGACCGGAGTCCGGTCCGACGGGCCGCCCTGCGCCTCCTCACCTACCTGAGTTGCCGATTCGGCCTGGCCAGGGTCCGCTGGGCCTTCAAGTTCTTTGACTCTGAGGGGGCGCGGGGCCGGCCGTCCCGCGTGTCTGACTTCCGCGAACTGGGGGCCCGCTCCTGGGAGGACTTCGAGGAGGAGCTGGACGCCAGGCTCGGGGACGGCGCCCACGGCGCGCACCTGCCGGGCCCGGCGCCCCGGGCCAGCCACACGCACAGCGCCCTGATGGAGACGCTGCTGGACTACCAGTGGGACCGGCCCGAGATCACGTCGCCCACGAAGCCCATCCTGCGCAGCAGCGGGAGGAGACTGCTGGACGTGGAGGGCGAGGCCAAGGAGGCCGAGACCGCGCTCGGGGGCTTTGGGAACGCGGTCTTCCTGCTGGGCCCCTGTCCGCATTCGCAGAGGGAGCTGCTGCAGTTCGTGTCCGGCTGCGAGGCGCAGGCCCAGCGCCTGCCGCCTCCCCCGAAGCAGGTGATGGAGAAGTTGCTGCCCAGGAGGGTCCAGGAGGTCATGATCGCCCGAAAAATCACCTTGTACTGGCTGGATACCACCGAGGGGCCGAAGGTAAGTCCGCGGGGAGCTCACACGCGGCGCTCCGTGTCCCGCTGGCAGACCAGAACCCGGCAGCGTCTGCGGAGCAGCGGGGAGACCCAGAGCCAGACTAGCACCACCGGCGCGGGTCCCTTCAGAAGGGAAGTCCCGGGGTCGCAAACTGCGACGACAGGTAGGTCCTTGGTACACACTAAGGTAAGCGTGTGAGGCCCTTCACAGTTTGGGCCCTTCTCTGCCTCCCCAGGTGCCGTTTTTCCTACACAGGACGAATACTCAGCACATGGAAGCATCGTCTAGTCGGTCAACAAACCTTGACTGCGTGTTCCGTGTCACCGGTCACCCCGAATGCCAGGGCTCACTCTTCTATGCCAGCCCAGACCTAGAACGCCTTGTCCCGTGACCACTGCTCAGTCTCCACTTCCGAATGTCCCCGCGCTTCTGTGGCACTCCCCCTGTCCCCTTTATGTCTTCCAGTCGTGCGAGTCTCTCACCGTCCATCTAGTCTAAAACATACCTCAAAGGCTTTGTATCCTCTGAAGATGCGTATTGAACATTGTGCCAGTTTAGTAACTATTTGTTGACTAAAGGAATAAATGTAGATACTTGTAGTCACAAATGGCCCATTTAGATTTTTGTTAGGCAGTGGGACCCCCTGCTCCTGTTAAGTACCCCGAGATAAATTTGTGTTGTTTTTAAGGTTTTATTTATTTATTTATTTGAAAGTGAGAATGAGTGGGGGGAGGGGCAGAGGGAGAAGCAGACTCCCTGCAGAGCAGGGTGCCCTCCTCCTTGGGCTGGATCCCAATACCCTGAGATCATGACCTGAGCCGAAGGCAGACTGAGCCACCCAGGCCCACAATAAGTACTTTTCCCCTTGCCATTTTTCCTCCTGTCACCTTCATTTAATTAACAAATAGCCATTGAGAAGCCATTGCATTGAGTGCCTACTACACTGTAAAAGTTGCAGAAGGTGTGGTGGCCAGCTGGGGTGGTTTACCTTCCAGTGAGGAACATATATTAAACAGATAAGAACAAACAGGTGAGCAACAGGAGGTAGAAGGGTGCGGAAGGAGCTTCATGAGTGGGAGAGGTAAAGGAGGAGGAACAGGAAGGTTGAGAGAGAACATTCCAGACAGAGAGCAGGTATAAAGATTTGAAATGGAAAGGAGCTTAGTTTGTTTCAGAAAGCACATGTCTGTAGGGCCTAGGCAGTCAAAGTGCAGATTTTCTTCTCATTGATGGACAGTGGCTTAACCAAATGAAAGATGTGATTCCACTTACTGGAAACACATGTGACTAAACTAGGAGTGGGTTAAATTGCAAGATTACAAATGGAAAATGGGCAGGTACTTAAAGAATAATAAACGTTAAAATTTCCTGGGGCACCTGGATGGCTCAGTGGGTTAATCCTCTGCTTTCAGCTCAGGTCATGATCCCAGGGTCTTGGGATCAAGCCCTGCATCAGGCTCTCTGCTCAGGAGGGAGCCTGCTTCCCCTTCTCTCTCTGTCTGCCTCTCTGCCTGCTTGTGCTCTCTGTCTGTCAAATAAATAAATAAAATCTTAAAAAAAAAAAAAAAGTTAAAATCTCCAATGTTCTTTCACATACAAAGCCCAAAAAAGACATGATAAATGCAAAATAAGGCAGCAGTGGCTTGTCAGAGAAAAGGAAAGAACAAAGGTGTTTAAGGGCCTTTGGTGGAGAAAATGGAATCCTAGAACTTAAAATTTGTTAAGGCAGCAAATCATGTGTTGGACATGGTACACAACACATAACTGCGTGATTTGGGGTAATGAATACCAAATCACACCAAAGACTTTATTCTGGAACTGTATCAAATACTGGCTAGAAATAAATTTTAGCAGATGGGGCTTGGAAAGTCTTCTCCTTTTTTTCTTTTTGGAACAGCATTTCAATAAGTAGATTGATGGTGTCTTTTTAAAGATCTCTTCAAGTTCTGACATTCTACCATCTGAGGGGATGGGTTTTCTCTGAGGTTTCCCTTCTCACATCTGCTATGTTGTTTACCCTAAGAAAATGCCCATCAAACAAGCTTCTCTGGAATTTTTTTTTTCTGGTGAAGATTCATCTTTTCCTGTTCAAAAAGCCTCTGCCCCACCACACTGCGGAGACAAAAGGGAGTTTTAGGTTAGTCCCTGGAGCGCTCTCACTACAGGGGTAGAGAGAAGGGAAGGAGAGGTCCTATCTTGCGGAGCTCATAGTCTGAGAGACAGAAGCGGAAGAAACAGAACCTGGACCCACAGACTGGGGGAGGAGGGATCCAAGCACAGAACTCTTACAGGATAGAAGGGAGCACAGCAGACCACTGGCATGCTCTTGACTTTGTACCTCTGATTTATTCGGCACGTACATGTTCCATATCTGCTGGGTGCTGGGTGTACCATTAGTGACCCAGACAGATGTAGTTCCTGCTCTCGTGGAGTTTATAGTCTTTTTTTCCCCCAAGATTTATTATTTTTTTAAAGTAATCTACAAATCTCTACACCCAATGTAAAACTCGAATTTAACCCTGATATCAAGAGTCCCATGCTCTAGTGACCGAGCCAAGCAAGTGCCCCTGAATTTATAGTCTTGTGGACGTTTATAAATCTCCAGATTTGAAATTATCACTAAAATTTGTCTCTCACTTAATCTGTTACATGCATAAAAATGAAAGGTATAACCATACTCTACATAGTGATTGTGGTTTTTTGGGTTTTTTTTGTGATTGTGGTTTTTTTAGTCATGCATATATTCTCATCAAAAGTTAATGTCTTTTTCAACTCTTATTAAAGCTTTACCTTTCAGGCACCTGGGTGGCTCAGATGGTTAAGCATCCGCCTTTGGCTCAGGTTATGATCCCAGAGTCCTGGGATTAAGTCCCGCATTGGGATCTGTGCCTCTGCCTCTTTCTCACTCTCTCCCTCTATCTCTCATGAATAAATAAATAAATAAATAAACTCTTAAAAAAAATAAAAAGCTTTACGTTTCAATTGATAAGCAGTTTTTTTTTTTCCCCCTAGCTGTCCTCTAGCCAGAATATCTAACAATTTCAACAAATTTTTTGTTTCCCTTTGGCAGAAAATCCTAATCAGGATCTATGGTATATGAACTAGCTTACCATTCTCCCCCATAGCGGTGAACACAGGTATGGACATATAGATGGTAACAGCAAATATTAATTGATTAATTTCCAAGCTGGCATGCATAACTGGAACAAAAATTTTATAATATATTGTTTATTTTCACTATATGAGATATTTTCTCTCTCTTTTTTTTTTTTTTTATTTGACAGAGATCACAAGTAGGCAGAGAGGCAGGCAGAGAGAGAGAGAGGAGGAAGCAGGCTCCCCGCTGAGCAGAGAGCCTGATGCGGGACTCGATCCCAGGACCCTGGGATCAGGACCTGAGCCGAAGGCAGAGGCTTTAACCACTGAGCCACCCAGGCGCCCCGATTCTGGTTTTTTTTGATGCTGATCACGAGCCAGTCAGTTGATCCATCAAAGGATCCATCCCAGTCTGCCAAAGGGTCATGACCCTCATTTTAAAAGCACTCTCCAAGATAGTTCTTGGTTCTTGGATGAGTCCTTGCTTTGTTGTGACCTTGGGTACTCTTATGGCCTTTTTTGAACTTGAGTCTGGAGATGACTGGGAAGACCTCACATTCCATAGCAATTTATGATCTGCATAAGTTAAGTCCTGTGGAGTAAGTCCTGTGGAGTAAGCAAGTAAGTAAGTCCTTGTTAAGTCCTGTGGAGTAAGCAAGCCAGCAGGGTAACTGTATTTTGGGGCAGGCGCTCTTCTGTCATGTTCCTATACTATTTGAATATTGTCATGTTATACTGTGATGCTGAGTTAAATATTTCATGTTACTGTGGTTTTACTCATTCTACCCCCAACTTTAAGATTCTAGAAGACAGAGACTAAGTCTTACTAATCCATAGCATATAAAGGTTGCTCCATAAAAGTTTGTTAAAAGAAGGTTGAACGAACAGTTGTTTATGTGAGGAAATAAAGGCTGGCTTTTACAGAGAAAGCAGAATTTGAGCTAGATTACCCAAGTTGGAGAAGAAGGGGGAAAGCACTGGAAACAGAATGAACCAAAGCATGGAAGATAAAATACAGCGTGTTCAGGAAACGGTGCATGGTTCAGTGTGCCTGGAAGGTAGCAGTGGGCGAGGGAAAGATAATGTGTTTGGAAAGGTTGCTTAGGGCTGGGCTAAGCCCAAGACTTGCTCTACCGTGGAGGCAGTGGAAAGTCCTTGAAAACTTTTAGAGAAGTAGCATGATCAGATCCATGATCTGGGAGAATGCTGAGAGCAACATGAGAGGCCAGACCCAGGAGGGAGAGGCTATGTAGTGAGTCCAGGCAAGAGATGACAAGGGCTGTGGTGAGAGCAGGCTGCATGGTGACAAGATACTGGCCGTTGGTTTGTGGCTTAATAAATACAGTAATCGAGTAATTTGATCCTTTAATGTAGATGTCAGCTTTACTTTCTCCCACTCCCGTCAAACTTGATTTATGGATGCTTCATTTAGAGCCCCCTGTGTTTCTTTGTCATTTTTACCTTAGTTGTGGGACTCCCCGGACCACCTCGGGTACTGGGCCTTGTGTGAACTGCTCCAAGTTGTTGGCGGCACGATCTTACCATCCGAAACTTTCAGCCAGGACTGTACTAAAGCTGGGGAAATGCTGCGTGGTAGTGAAAAAAAGCTGGCGAGTGAATCTGCCCCGTCTTCCTGGATTTCAGCTCTGCCACCTGATGCCACTTTGAACTGTTTGCTCTATAATTCTGCCTATGAAGCCTCCTTTCCACGGATGGAAGGAACGTTATTTCTCCCTGTTGAAGGTAAGCAAATACTCTCTCGGGGAGCGTTATGGTCTCAGGTACATTGATTTCTTTCAGGCAAGCCTATGCTTTTCACTTTCGATTTTCCAACAGCCTAGGCATTCGATTAATGCTTGTAATTAAAAGGTGTCTGTGCAGAGCACCTGGGTGGCTCAGTCAGTTGGGTGACTGCCTTCGGCTCAGGTCATGATCCTGGAGTCCTGGGATAGAGTCTCACATCGGGCTCCCAACTCCATGGGGAGTCTGCTTCTCCCTCTGACCTTCTCCCCTCTCATGCTCTCTCACTGTCTTTCTCAAATAAATAAATAAAATCTTAAAAAAAAAAAAAGGTATCTGTGCAGAATCAGGTAGCACGGGGAAGTGTTAAACACTGGCACCGGGTAACTGCCAGCTCCCCTTTAAAAAGAATACTGAGTGATTTTTAAAGAATTTCCCAGCTGTTGAAAAGAAGGATAATACTGTTCACGTGCCCACGCAAAGGGGTGGTAAGATTTCCCGCCTCATAGAAGACTGATAAATGGAAGGCCATAGGGAAGCAATGATTGAGAGAAGAAATAACAAATTAGTCACCCGCCTCTGAAAATGGTGCTTTTTACCAGGAAGGGCCAGCATGTTAGAGTCCTCAGAAGTTTACTGCATGATCTGCTGTATCGTGAATCTCACATCTGAATCCCGTACCCACGCAGAAGTCCTACTCTGTAGAGATGGGTACATAAAACTCTGTTATATACATTGTGTGTAGTTTAAGGAAATTTCAAGAGTAATTTTTTTTTAATATTTTATTTATTTATTTGATAGATCACAAGTAGCAGAGAGGTACCCATAGAGAGAGGGGAAAGCAGGATCCCCGCCGAGCAGAGAGCCCGATGCGGGGCTCCATCCCAGGACCCTGAGATCATGACCTGAGCCGAAGGCAGAGCCTCAACCCACTGAGCCACCCAGGCGCCCCAAGAGTAGTTTTGTTTAAGTAGTTTTGCCATATATAATCTTTAGAATTCAACATTCTCATATGATGTAATATACTCTATTTCACAGATTTAAGCCATGTTGTCTTTTTTGTAAGTCACGAGTATTACTTCAATACTTCTTTCTAAGGCATAATTACTGAGAATTTCTGACATTCAGTTGGACCATTGTGATTCTGTTCATATGTAGCTCTTCCCATAGAACGAAATGCACTCGCTCCGCTAGCCTGTCGTTAGATGAGGGCTGAACCGTGAAGGGACAATACCAGTACCACACTGACAATCTCATTTTTTTTTCTTCTCGCTATTAAATCTATTTTTAGTAACGATTACATTAGAATTTTAATATTCCTTATCTCTAACAGGCAAAGAGACTCAAGAAACATGGACAGTCACCCTAGAGCCCCTGGCCATGCATCAGAGACATTTCCAGAAACCAGTCAGAATTTTTCTAAAAGGCACGGCAAGCCAGTGGTCTCTCCCAGCGAGCAGCACTTTGGGCACTGAGAGCTGGATGCTGCAAAGTCCGGAGAACAGGTCAACTCAGAGGGTGTTATTCCAGCAGCTGGTAAGCAGGCTGGCTACTGAAGAGTTACACCTGGTAGGTACCTGGCGCATGCTCAGTCCTTCTTATCTAAAACCACACTGGTGAGGTGAAATTAGTGTGTTTATGAAGTGCCGAGGAATGTTCTACACGGCGTGGTTTCAGTGACACATGCAGCATCATGACAGTGCCCCTTAGTGACGAAACAGTTTATAAAACTGCGTGTACCTTGATCCCATTTAAGTTAAATTATAGTCACATGGGGAAAAAAAGGCAGTGGGCCGAATGGAATGCAAGCATTAGTTTAGGGCGGTGAAGTAATGTCTGGTTTCTAGTTATTTTGTAAGCCTTCTGTTATATATTTATTAACTTTTGTAATCAATATCATTTTTTAAAAGCCCTGCACTGTAACATTAGATGTAATAGTGTTCAGTAGTTATACAAACTTAGAAATGTCTTCTGAAAAATACATATTTATCCAGATTTTGTTGAAAGGTGATGGTTATTTTTAAACGACGAGCAAATTTCTCACCTTACTTTGTGTTTTGCCTTTGTTACCGCAGAAGGCTTCCATCTTCTGGATCCCATTGTGAGACACTTAAAGAAAAGCTCTATAGTCTCTGAACCGGTGTTCTAAGAGTTGTGTGTTCTGATAGAGCACTGGGTCGGGAGTCAGGCAGTCTGAATTTGGTCTCAGCTCTGCTGCCCAACTGTGTAATCTGAATAAATCCCTTAAGTAGTAGTATTGGGTTAAGAGCATGGGTTTCGAATTCATGTGCTCTTGGCTTCTGCATCTTAGTACCTGGGTGACCTTAAGCAGGTTACTTATTTCTCAGCCTTAATTCCTCCTCTGTAAAAGGGGGATAATAATCATTTTTACCTCAGAGTAATGTTGTGAGGTCCTCAGTTTTGAGGACTCGGTGAGTTATAATCTCATTGTAAGTGCTTAGTAAATATTCCTGGGAACCTTAGCTTTTTCTTATTTGTTAATTGAGAGATTAAGGTAATATGGTCACTAAATTCAATTCTAGCACTTATACCCATCCAGCCTGTCTTTTCCACAGTTCTCACTTTTCGAATAATAATCATCAGGAGAAACTATCAATCTGTCTTTTACTAAGCTACATTCTTCTTTAGCCATAGGACAACATTCTTCTCAACTAATTAGAACTTCTGACGTAGGTTGCCAGTGTGGACCTTGGTGAAGGCTGGCCCCCCATCACGGGAGTTATTTCCCCCCTCTCCACCAATGCTACAATTCTCACCGTGTTCCGCACTGAGGAGGCTGAATTTCAAAGACCTTTTCTCCAAACAGTTGTGGCAGAGAGCCCCCAGGATACAGCTTCCCTTGTTTCTGATATTATGGATAGTGTCTTGAATCAGGTTCACAATTCACTTGAAGATCCTGTTACCTGCGGTAAGCTTCTGAACCAATAACTAACATACTCCTGGGCAGTGGGTTTATAGTTTTTTCCACTGTCAGAATTTTTTTCACTGTGCTCTTTATGAACCCCAATATATATTATAAAACAGATAAAACAGATAAAAGCAAGCTACAAGCAATTTAAGCTTGCAATTAAGCTTGCAAGCAAGCTTCAGGCAATTTAAATCAGTATTATTTATAGAAAGCCTAAAGCACTTCTGTGAAACTGCTTTGAATCAAAGGTATAAGGTGAACCTTGTATTAATATATTTATTGAAGACTGTATATGAAACTATTGTGATTCTGTCTACCTTGCAGTCTGTTGAATTGTTACTAACACAATACAAACCTTATTTATGCTAGGTGGATAGAAATATAATCAATTTGATATTTATTCCACAGATTGATTGAGTGGCTGCCATGGCAGGCGCTGTACTAAGTAATGGCAATGGGTCAGAGAACAAAATAGAAGTCTCTGTTCTTAGTATACTGTCTAGTCAAGGGAAACAAGACAATAAATAAGGAGGTTGCATAGTATGTTTGAAAGAGATAAGTGCCATTGTAATAAAGCAGGAAAAAAGGAATGGGGAGTGTAAGGGGTGGGAGGGTTGCAAATACAGGAAGAACATTGCTGATAGAGGCAACTCAAGCACCAAGACTCTGAGAAGGGCATGTGTCTGGTGCGTTTGAGGAACTGTGAGTTAGCCTACGTTTGTACATTGCTGGGTAGCATTTTTCATAGACCGCATAGGCCCATTGGAATTGGTGATGTGGACGAAGGAATGTTGTTAATGATGTGACTTTGTGTGTCTTTTGCCACCTGTTCAAGGGAGGGGCAAGTGCTTCCACTTTGGGCCTAATGCCTTTCTTTCTTTCTGTCCTCTCCCATCACTGCTTCTGTCCCTGTAGCTGCTCCTGTTCCAGAGTGGGCCCAGCAGGAACTTGGCCGCACCGGTCCCTGGAGTGCGGCTGTTGTGGAGAAGTGGTTTCCTAGCTCTAACCTTAGTGGCGCCAGTTCAAGTTTGATGGAGTCATTTGGGTAAACCTTTTTTATTTCTTTGGATATTGACTGATGAAATCAGGTCTCACTTCTCTCTACGTATGGGTTGGTTTGTGTAGCATACCGCATTTTCTTAGTATAGTCCCATAATATTAAAAACTATGTGAAAATGGAGAGCATTTTTTTTTTTTAAGATTTTATTTATTTATTTGACAGACAGAGATCACAAGTAGGCAGGGAGACAGACAGACAGAGAGGAGGAAGCAGGCTGTCTGCAGAGCAGAGAGCTGGATACGGGGCTCGATTCCAGGTCCCTGGGATCATGACCTGAGCTGAAGACAGAGGCCTTAACCCACTGAACCACCCAGGCACCCCAATGGAGAGCATTTTTAAATGGTCACAGAGTTTCAGTTTTACAAGATGAAGAGAGTTCTGGAGATGGATGGAGGTGATTGATGGTAGCTTAATTATAAATCAACTTAATACCCCTGAACTTTGTACTCAAAAGTGTTTAGGATGTTATATTTATGGCATGTATATTTTGCCACGATAAAAAAAAAATTGGAAAAAATAAAAATGCACTCATGGAAGTCAGAAAATATTTAGTATTAAAGCTCAGTAAAAATGAAAAATAACGTTTGGGTAATGCCGCTAAGTATACTTCAAGGAAGATTCATAGAACTTATCTTTTAAGGAAGAAGAGCTAAAAACCAATTAATTAAGGGTCCAGTACAGGAAGTAGCACGAGGGAGTAAACCCCCAAAATAAGACAGTAATAAAAGATAAGAACAAACATGAATCACAGAAAAAAAAACCACAATAGAAATCAACAAACATAAAGTGATTCTTTGAGAAGCCAAATAAAATAGAATTATCTATAGCAAAACCAATCAGTTTTGTTTTTTTTTTTTTTTTTAAGATTTATTTATTTATTTATTTGAGAGAGAGACAGTGAGAGAGAGCATGAGCGAGGAGAAGGTCAGAGAGAGAAGCAGGCTCCCCGTGGAGCTGGGAGCCCGATGCGGGACTCAATCCCGGGACTCCAGGATCATGACCTGAGCCGAAGGCAGTTTTCGTCCAACCAACTGAGCCACCCAGGCATCCCTTTTTTGTTTTTTTTTTAATAATATTTTATTTATGGGGCACCTGGGTGGCTCAGTGGGTTAAAGCCTCTTCCTCTGGCTCAGGTCATGATCCCAAGGTCCTGGGATTGAGCCCCACATCGGGCTCTCTGCTCAGCGAGGAGCCTACTCCCCCGCACCCTGCTGCCTGCCTCTCTGCCTACTTGTGATCTCTGTCAAATAAAAAAATAAAATCTTTTAAAAAAATATTTATGTGAGATAGAGCCCAAGCAGGGGGAGTGGCAGGCAGAGGGAGAGGGAAAAGCAGGCTCCCCACTGGATAGGAGACCCAAGATTTGGGGCTTGATCCCAGGATCCTGGGATCATGACCTGAGCCAAAGGCAGACGCCTAATCGGCTGAGCCACCCAGACAAACCATATTAGAAATGTAAAAGAGGGGCGCCCAGGGCTCAGTATAGCCTACAATTCTTAGTTTCAGCTCAGGTTATGTTCTCAGGGTCTTGGGATTGAGCCCTGTGTCAGACTCTGTGCTCAGCGGGGAGTCTGCTTGAGATTCTCTCTCTGCCTCTGCTCGTGCCCCCTGCCCTCACTCTCTCTCGCTCTCTCTCTCAAGTAAAGAAATCCTAAAAAAAGAAAAAAGAAATGTAAGAGATATAGAAGAAATTCAAATTAGTATTAAGAGGTAAAGCTAAGGTTTATTTTTGCCATGGAGATAACCAGTTGTTCGAGCACCATTTGTTAAAAGATAATCTTCTCACTGAGTTACTATGACAGCTTTGTGGAAATCAGTTGGCCACCATCATCTAGGTCTATTTCTGAAAAGAATCTGGTCCAGAAGGTGTGTTAATATCACATTGTCTCGAGTACTGAAATCAGGTTGTCTTAGTCCTCTCAACTTTGTTTGCCTTATTTTCAGAATTGTTTTGACTATTCTAGATCCTTTGTATTTCCATGTAAATTATGGAATGAGTCTGTTAAATTTCCACCAGAAAAGCATGCTGGGATTTTTCACCAACAGTGCATGGAGTCTGTAGGTCAGTCTGGGAAGAATTGACTTAATAACGAGTTTTCTGATTCATGAACATGGTACAGCTTAAAAGGGCTAAGACGGAACAGGTGCACTTTCCCCTATAAGAAAGCAATGTTTAGGGGCGCCTGGGTGGCTCAGTGGTTAAAGCCTCTGCCTTCGGCTCAGGTCATGATCTCAGGGTCCTGGGATCGAGTCCCGCATCAGGCTCTCTGCTCAGCAGGGAGCCTGCCTCCTCCTGTCTCTCTCTGCCTGCCTCTCTGCCTACTTGTGATCTGTCTGTCAAATAAATAAAAAAAAAATCTTAAAAAAAAAAAGGAAAGCAATGTTTACCATAAAGCTCTAGTGAGTAAGGCAGCGTGGGATGGGTGCAATGATTTGACAGAGAGACCCATGCAACAGTTAAGTGCCCCCAAAATGACCTGCACCTGTATGGGAGCTCAGCATATGACAGAGGCAGAATTTTAAATCTGGAAAAGAACAGACTGTTCACTAAATGGTGGTGTGACCGTTGGCTCTCTAGAAGAAAAGAAGATTAAAATTAGATTTCTACTTCACAGCATACACAATGATAAATCCTAATAAAATTTTAAAAACAAGTGTGAAAAGTAAAGTTTTAAAATTTTAAGAAGGGGGCGCCTGGGTGGCTCAGTCATTAAGTGTCTGCCTTCGGCTCAGGTCATGATCCCAGGGTCCTGGGATCAAACCCTGCATCAGGCTCCCTGCTCATCAGGAAGCCTGCTTCTCCGACCCCCACTCTCCCTGCTTGTGTTCCCTCTCCCGCTGTGTCTCTGTCAAATAAATAAAATCTTAAAAAATTAAAAAAAAAATAAGTAAAATTATAAGAAGGATACTTACCTGGCAGGGGAGATACCATGATCACAAAGGTGGTTTTCCCAGGGCAAGGCTTATCCATTGCACTCCAGATGTGCTGACCCCTGCGATTTCCCCAAATGTGGGAAACTCGACTGCATAATTTGTGGTAGTGGGGGACTGTGTTCGTGCTTTCCCCTGTAATAAATAAATAAATAAATAAATAAATAAAATTGTAAGAAGGGAAAATGAGTAGTTGAGGCTGGGAATGGATCTTTTTGCATAAAACCTCAAGCATTCAAACCATGAAGGAAAATAGATGACTATAATTTAAAATTTTCTGTATGATGAAAAGGACTAGTCATAGGCCTGGGTGACTGTAATCCATGCAACTAGCAAAGAATTAGTACCTAAATTAGTACAGAGCTCCTAGAAATCAACAAGGAAAAGACAAGCAATTGGGCAAAGAATGCAAACAAGCAGTTCACGCAATGAAATCCAACAGAACAGTAATTTGAAAAGCTACGAAACAGCTGGGACACCTGGCTGGCTCAGTCCGGGGAGCAGGTGACTCTGGATCTCAGGGTCCTGAGTTCAAGCTCCACACTGGGCATAGAGCTTACTTAAAAAAAAAAAAATGATGCTCAAATGAAAATGAAAACCACAATAAGAAAAAACCTGCAAGATTCTATTTTATACCAGTAGATTGTCCTAGGTCGGTAAATCCGATCTAGCAGGAGGGAAAATGAGAACACTTTAGACAGTAGAATCATAAATGGTTACAGCCATTTCAGAGAGCAGATTGTATTCCTAGTAAAGCAGAAACTTACTGACCGCCAGCAATTGCACTTACACGTGTCTACATTAGAGCAGTTTGCACAAACATGAGAGCTACACTCGATTGCTCACTGCCAGTCGTTAAAAGTGAAAAAGTGGAAAGAATCAGCTGTGTCTCGGGGCGCCTGGGTGGCTCAGTGGGTTAAAGCCTCTGCCTTCGGCTCAGGTCATGATCCCAGGGTCCTGGGATTGAGCCCCACATCGGGCTCTCTGCTTGGTGGGGAGCCTGCTTCCTCCTCTCTCTGCCTGCCTCTCTGCCTAGTTGTGATCTCTGTCTGTCAAATAAATGGATAAAGTCTTGAAAAAAAAAAAAAAAAGAATCAGCTGTGTCTCAGTGGGGAAATGGAGAAACAAACTATGGTATAATTATACAAGGGAATATTATAGAGTAGTGAAACTGAGTAAGCTAGAACTACTTACCTGCTTGTGAAAAATATGTTGAGTACAGACAAAGTGCAGAGGGATGGGTGTGATGTATGATATTTTTAAAAACTTGGAATGTATATAATAGCAATTTATGTTGGTTTCCATACATACGTATGTCTCTATAAATAAACACAGGTCTAGGAATACCTCTGGAAGGAAGGGATGGGAAAACATACAGTGGGCTTTTTTTTGTGTCTGTAATGCTTAATTTCATTAAAAAAATCTCAAGTAGGGGCACCTGGGTGGCTCAGTGGGATAAGCCTCTGCCTTCCGCTCAGATCATGGTCTCAGGGTCCTGGGATCGAGGCCCACATCAGGCTCTCTGCTCAGCGGGGAGCCTGCTTCCCGCACCCCCCCAACTCTGCCTGCCTCTCTGCCTACTTGTGATCTCTCTCTCTCTGTCAGATAAATAAAATATTTTTTTAAAAAATCTGAGGTAGTTAGGGTAAAACATTAACAGATATTTAATCTTGCTGGGATGTACATAGCTAATAATGCTTTCTCTGTTGTGTATTTGAAAGGTTCTTAAGTTCTAAATTTACAGAAAAACAAACCCTCCCCTCAGTGAAAGGCAATCCCAGCACACTTGGGAAGAATTAGTCTGTTTCAGACCTGCTACGTGTGTGAAGCTGAGACTCCCCCCAGATTCAACACTGGTCGCCATAACTTCCTCCTCCTTTAAATCAGATAATATCACATAATGGAGGACAGTGAAATACAAGTAATGCATTTTTTTTTTTCAAGTAATGCATTTTGAAAGTGTTGCCATGTTCTTAGTTTGCTTAGTGACTGTCATGTAGACCTAGGCAGAAGAGCATTGGACACGTGATCACCCCCTCCGGCCTGCTTCATCCGCTTCTCACAATCCCAGATTAGTTTACTACAGCGTGAGAAAATGATTCAGGAGTCACTGTGACGACGTTCTGTTACACCGTCTTACACTTCATTGACACTGAGTAAAAAATAACTATGGGATCGTTGCCTGCATATACCCTAGGACATAAAGAATCTTGGTAATAAGTCAGTCCTGTGTGTCATGATTAATGGTTTTGTGAACAGGTAGCTTCCGTTGCTGAGCGGTTTTTTTTTGTGTGTTTTTTTGTTTTTTGTTTTTTTGAAGGGATTAAACAACACATTTATTGTGTCACAGTTATGGAGTCTACAAGTGTGATTATTAAGTCTCTTGCATGGGTTGGTTTCTTCTAAGAGCTGTTGGGGGGGGTCTACTGCATGTTTCTCTCCTGTCTTCTGGTGTGAGTGTTTAAATTGTGAGAAGAGAGGGGTATTTTCCCTTCCGAGCAAAAAATATTTTTGAAGACTTCTTGTGCAGACATCTTTTGATTAGCTTTTAAAGGGATAATTTTGTTGTTAAAGCGTTTTAGAAAAACCAGAATTTCAGCTTTATCCTAGACCTCTTGCTTTGTTCACAGGTTATTACAGGCTGCCTCATCTGATAAGGAAGAGTCTTCCAAAACTGAAAGCGAGTTAACGTGTTGCCTGTCCAAGCTCTACCAGAGGAAGTCTCGGGAAGAATCCGCTGTGTCCAATCAGGAAGACAGCAAAAAGAAACGTAAGCACGTCAACTGTTTCTTGAGGCAGCCTTGTTTGAGCGTGTGTGTTTTAAAAGATTAGCTTTCCCTGAAATGAGGTTGAAATGGTAACTGAATGAGAGAAGGACAGGTTCTTCTATTTCAAATTTGAAAAAGATGACATTAATTACAAAAGCGATGTTTAAAAATCGCCCACAATCCTACTTTCTTAATAAACCGTTTCCATTCTTAGGACAGAAATACAAATCCAGCTTTGCGTGCTTCTTATAAATACCTATCTGCTTCCTTGCCTTTTCAGTTACTGTTCTCCCTCATCGCTTCACAAAATTTACAAAAATCTTACGTTGTCCAAGAGATTTTCAGTTTTCATCATTATAAATACTAGAGTGTACATGATGCAGGTGATTTATTCTTTGAGTGCCTTCCTTAGAATAAGTTGTCAGGAACAAGTTACTGTACCAAAAAGTGGGAGAGAGTAGCTTTCAGGAGAGTTACGTCGCAACTCTGACCATCGGGGAACACCAAATGGGTCTGGCATTGGCCTTACTAAAAATCCTCGCGTCCTGTTGCAATGTTTCATTCCTAAACTTCAGTTTAAAGAAGAGCTCTCTCTCTACTCCGGGCTGGAGGCACAGAGAGATGCACAAACCCCCGAAGGGCTACGCTTCCTACTCTCTCACAGAATGCTTCATCTTAAAGTGGTTCCTAAATCGCCAGAAGTGAAAGCTATTTTCCTTTTCTCTGCACGCTGTTGTCTGGGAAGGAGGGGTCCCTCGGACTCCCGTGCGGCGGAAGATGAGCACCATGTGTCGCTCCCTGAAGATGCTGAACGTGGCGAGGCTGAACGTGAAGGCGCAGAAGCTGTGTCCCGACGGTGGTCCAGAGGCGGCCGGGGAGAAGGGCGTCCCAAAGGCGGCCAGTGGGAGGACAGCAGATAAATGGGAAAACCGAGGAAGGACACTACGAAGCTCTAACCCTAAAGGTATCCCTCAGTTCCATAGCCTTTTGGTGTCTAAGGCCAGGTTGACTCTTTCATACCCTCAGATTCTTATAAGTTTTAATTCTATCCCTCAATTAACGAACATTTATCAGACATCGGCTGCATTCCTCAAAGTGTGTTATGGGGAACACAATAAAAAGATCACGTCCTGGTCTCAGATTGTGATGCAACCTCAAAGACGATAATAGCTCATATATGCAGACGCACACACACATATATAAAATACACAATGAACTAAGGCAGCCTAATACACAGGAGAGCCAGGAGTCTCCAACAGGAAGGACTTGCTCATCAGGGAACTAAAGACATGTGAGGAGCGGAGAACGGGAAGGGCAGCCTTGGGCTGGAATAGGCTGAGGAGGCTTCTCGGGAGCCAGGGGGAGCCCAGGCTGGATGCTGAGGGGCGAGCATAGTTGAGAGGGCAGCACGGTTAAGAGAGGGCATGCTAGATGGGGGACTGGCCTAAGCAAAGTCACAAGAAGGGCCATGGCACAGCCATACAAGTGGTTAAAGAAGCTTTCTGCATGGAGGAAAAAAGGGAAGGGGAAAGCTTTGGGAGCGATCTAGAGCATTGAGGTCTTTCAGAGTTGGGCAGAAGAATTTCGTCCAGTAATACTAATTTTGCCATTCTTTCTTTCTTTTCTATAGAAGGGATAGAATTGCAGTAGGTTTCTCCTTCTCAGGGCACATTTAGAGCCAGTCCTATGGGAAAGCTGTAAAGATAGTTTAGGGACTTCGGGCAATAACTGCATGATGTCACCTTTGAGTTCTTTTGAGAATTCTGGAATAAATAAATAAATTCTGCTCCTTGAAGGATTTTTTTTTTTTTTTGGCCTGTGGAATGTTAGATTCATAGATGATTATCAGTCTGAATGAGACAGAATGTCTTTAATGAGCTAGTAAAAGTATTCAAGAATGTGGATGGTTCATTCAGGAGAGAGCAAAATTAACAGCATTCAAGACCATGTGCTATTAACAGTTTCTGGACTAGATTCTGAGCAGAGATAGACCTGCCCGACAGTGGCACACAGCTTTTTGACAAAGGTACACCAGTAATTCAGTGGGCAAAGGATAATCTTTTCAACAAATGGTGTGGGAACAAATGGGTATCTTTATTTTATTATTATTATTATTATTTTTTAAGATTTTATTTATTTATTTGACACAAAGAGAGAGATCACAAGTAGGCAGAGCAGCAGGCAGAGAGAGAGGGGGAAGCAGGTTCTCTGCTGAGCAAAGAGCCTGATTCGGGGCTCGATCCCAGGACCCTGAGATCATGACCTAAGCCAGAGGCAGAGGCTTAACCCACTGAGCCACCCAGGTGCCCCTGGTTTTTATTTATTTATTTATTTTTAAAAAGATTTTATTTATTTTGGGGGGTGCAGAGAGAGAGCATGAACATGAACAGGGGGAAGGGCAGAGGGAGAAAACGCTTCCTGCTGAGCAGGGAGCCCAATATGGGGCTTGATCCCAGGACCAGAGCCAAAGGCAGACAGTTAACTTACTGAGCCACCCAGGTGCCCCTATTTTTTTTTCTTTAAGGGATTATTTAAGACTATGAATTTTCCTTTAAGTTTAACTGCATTATACATGTTTGTCATATTCTGTTTTTATTGATACTTAATTCTAAATATTTTCTGACATCTGTAATGTGAGGGAATTTTTTAATCCAATCTGATAGTTTCTTTTACTCAGCAAGCACATTTGTAAAATAAATATTTATAATTACTGATAAGCTTGGAAGTTTTTTAGTGTCTTATTTTGTGCTTTCTATAGTTTTTATTTTTTCCTTGCTAGCAGACTTTGAGATTAATCAAGTTCTATTTATTCCTCTTTTTCCTTTCTGCTAGGTTTGGAGGTTATATAGTTTTGTTTGGTTTTGCTTTTTTTGTTTTTTTGGTTTTTTTTTTTAGATTTTATTTATTTATTTGACAGAGAAAGAAGAGACAGTGAGAAAGGGGAACACAAGCAGGGGTAGTGGGAGAGGGAGAAGCAGGCTCCCTGCTGAGCAGGGAGCCTGCTGTGGGGTTCAATCCCAGGACTCCAGCCAGGATCATGACCTGAGCTTAACAACTGAGCTAGCCAGGTGCCCCTGTTTTGCTTTTTTAAGATTTTATTTTTAAGTAGTCTCTATACCCAACGTGGGGCTCGAACTCACAACCCTGAGATCTAGAGTTAAACATGCTCCACTGACTGAGCCAGCCAGGCACCCCTATAGTTTTTTGTTTTTTGTTTTTTGTTTTTTCCATAATGGTTATCCTTAAATTTATAACATGCATATTGGATTTGCAAAGCCTTAAAATGACCATCTCTGCAGTTTCTAATCCTCTACACTACTGACATTTTGGGTGGGATAATCTCTTGGAGGGGCTGTCCTTTGTGCTGTGGGATTTTTAGCAGCATCCCTGGCCTCTGCCCACTAGATCCCCACCGGACTGGCAACCCAAACACAGTCACATATCCCCTGGGAGGCAAAAATTCCCAGTAGACCACTGACTTAATACAATGACTTCAGCTAAGGGTGATGATCAATTTGATTTTTTTTTCATAGATTTTAAAACAGAAGAGGAGCTCCTGTCTTACATACATGAAAATTACCAAAAGACTGTGGCCACAGGAGAAAACACGTTGCATTCATGCGCTCAGAATATGATCTCAACCATTAAAGCATTCCTAAAATCCAAAGGCACCAAGGAATTAGAAGTAAGAGAGTATGGGGTGGTTGGATGCTTGTTGGCAGGTTTGGCCATATATGTTGGGAAATGACTGTTCCATGGTGTGTGATTCACAAGTAAGATAAGCAAGGGGGTGAACATAATTCCAGACCTTGGAAGGTGGACATGGTGAACTGGTTAGGCAGAAACCCAGGAAATAGGCCAAGTGAGGGTAGTGGAAATTACACATACTTCTTTTCTAATGAAATCTCTGTCCTGAACTGCACGTTAGCTGCATGAATTAAGCTGGTGGTTCTTACCCAGATTCACTCGGAACATTTTTTTAAAAATGCTGATGCCTGGCTTCCTCAAGACCAACTGAGGCTTGTTCCTGGGTATGTGTACTTATAAAAAGCTTGCTAGATGATTCTTATGCACAGGGAGTGTTGCCAACCACTGGTTTAGACCATGCTGTCATTGTCTTTATTCATGGTTAGTGGTGAAAGCCAGGCTCCTCTCAAGTGGACAGGAGTTGCTTATGGTCCTTATTTATATATGTAGGTATGTATTTATTTAATTTGGTTGATTGATTGTAGGCTCCACGCCCAACGTGGAGCTTGAACTCATAACCCTGAGATCAAGAGTTAGATGCTGTACTGACTGAGCCAGCCAGGCACCCCTCCACCCCTAAGGAATCTTTTTTTTTTTTTTTAAAAAGGTCAGATATGGAGGCTTGTATCCATGTCCCCCTGCTCTCAAATACTTTTTACCATGTTACTTTTGAAGATAAGGAGAAAGAACATTTTTTTTTTTAAGATTTTATTTAAAATAGAACATGTAAGCAGAGGGAGAGAGAGGGAATCTCAAGGAGACTGCGTCAAGCACAGAGTCCAGTGGGGGGCTTGATCCCACTGGATCCCACTTGATCATGACTTAAGCTGAAACCAAGATGACACTCAACCGACTGAGCCACCCGGGCGCCCACACATTCATTTCACTGTTTTTCATTCAGATGAAATAAGGGGGCAGTTTGTAAGGGAATGTACTTCCCTTCTTAGGACGTTAATCAGCTGTGAAATAAATTAGAAATAATATGTAACTCAGTAGTCTCCTATGTAATAATTTTGTATTTTCAGATGAACTGTGTGAATCAAGTGAAAAATAGCCTCTTAAAAACTAGCAAAAGTCTTCGACAGAATCTAGGGGAAAAACTGGATGAAGATAAAGTCAGAGAGTAAGTAACTACCTTGATATATTTACTTTATGTGTGTGTGTGTGTGTGTGTGTGTGGTTGGCTATTTATTTATTTATTTATTTATTTATTTATATCACTCCAGAACAGCTCCAAGATTTGCTTGGATCCACTTAAAATGGATTGATGACTGATTAATAAATACAAACTAGATTGCCAGTTGCTCCTAGAGGCTTATTCTCCGCAACGTTGTGATGCGCAGTCCGAGCTACCCTATTTAAAAGCAGTGTCTCTTTTCCTTTTCGGTTGTCAGTTCTTCTGTAAACGGATCTTTGCTTAAGGAGGGAGCGTGTAGTTAAATGGCACTCAGGATGGATATGACCCAAGTATTTCATTCTGTCAAGGTGCCAGCTTCAGGTGTTTCTTCGTTTGGAGCTGTGTCTGCAGTGCCCGTCCGTCCACGAAAGCACCGCTGAGATGGAGCAGGTGGTGAAGGAGGCAAGTATATAGCCCAGCACCGCCGGAGACGAGCCCGAAAGGCTCTCCGCTTCCCTGCAGGAAGCACGTGGTCATTTTCGGTTATCTTCTTCAGGTGACAGGCTTGCTGCGCACCGTGTGTTTGACTGAGGATTCGGCATACCTAGCAAAGTTTCTGGAGGAAATCTTGGGATTGTGAGTTTGATGACTACTAACTTTAGAACTGTCTTACCAGAAACTGCATGTGCTTGGTATTATGTGAGAATTAGGGAATTCTAAGGACTGTCTGTCCTGCTGGATGCGGGGCGGAACAGAGAGGGCGGAATGGTGACCGTCGCATAGTTAACCAATCTCTTCCGCAGGTATATTGACTCCATCCCGAAGACACTTGGAAATCTTTATGACAGCCTGGGGTTTATGATTCCTCAGAAGCTGGCTGGTGTCCTTCCTCTAGATTTTTTCAGTGACGACTCCGTGACACAAGAAAACATGTCACCCCTTCTCTCTGTGCCTCTTCCGTCAAGTGCTCATAGATCAGTGTCTGGTGGCACTGAGTCTGACCAGCTAGAAGAGCTTCGCACCAGATCGGCTAAGAAAAGAAGGTAGGAGTAGAAGGAATTACGTGCTCTATTGTAGGTCAGACAGAGGGCAGTCGTCTTGGTATAGAATTTGTTGAATTACTAGTTGTCCTTCTGTCTGAATCCCAGAAGCCATCTATAGGCATTCCTAACATGCAACATCTGGCATCCTGTATTTTATCCAGGGAATATGCAGGATTGATAACGTAGTCCACAGTGCCCTTGTTTGTCGACATAGGGTCTGCAGGAGCTAGGGGCCTTTTATGAGATAAGCTTCCGGCTTCGGTGACTTTGTTTTCCTTGATGCTCCCTGTTGTTCGTAACTAGTTGAACTGATAGTAGTTAACTTTTGGAAATTGTGAGGTTGCCGTGTTTTGCTACAAATTCGGACCAATGACAAGATAACTGACTTTTATTAATTAGTGTATTATTTTCAACTCTGCTTCTTTTCTAATTTACTCATAACCTCTGTTCAATGTGTAATGGCTGTTTGTTTCTGTTTTTAAAAGGAAAAATGCATTAATAAGGCATAAAAGCATTGCAGAGGTTTCACAGAATCTTCGACAAATTGAGATCCCCAAAGCGTCCAAGAGAGCTACAAAAAATGTAAGTTTTTCCCAGGGGACAGGAGATCAGGCCACCAGATCCGTTCCTTCTAGCACGAGTTGATACAATAAATAAGCTCGCAGGGGAGTGCCTCTACTTTGAGGGAGTGGGACCCGAGAGGGTTTTATGAATGAGTATTCAACTGGAATCCAACAACTGAAGAACTACAGATTTGTTAAAGATAAACCATTTTACCCGTGGGGCACCTGGGTGGCTCAGCGGGTTAAGCCTCTGCCTTCGGCTCAGGTCATGATCCTAGGGTCCTGGAATGGAGCCCCGCATTGGGCTCTCTGCTCAGCGGGGAGCCTGCTTCTCCCTCTCTCTCTGCCTGCCTCTCTGCCTACTTGTGATCTCTATCAAATAAATAAATAAAAATCTTTTTAAAAATTATTAAAAAAAAAAAAGTGGTGTTCACATCCTCAGTATGCCTTGAAAAAAGATGCAAATCTTGTGTACCTTGGAATCCAGATCAGAAATCAGAGAAAATCCAGAAGTGGACGGCAACAAAGGTGTCAGACCTTCTTTCTCTCTAGATGTTATAATGATTTGCAGTCCTTCTAGCACTCCTTAAGTCAGCCTGTATGTGGTAGTTCATTTTTTAAAAAATATATTGGCATAATTGGAAAGAAAAGCTTTAAAAACAATTGTTTAGATGCTTGTAGATTTTTAGACTATCGAATAGTGAATAGATTAATGCAGTGAAGCCCTGAAGCGTGTAGTCATCCTCTAGTTTATATGGCTTTACCCTTAAGAGTCTCTTCTCCATTATTATTATTTTTTTTAATTTAAGATTTTATTTATTTTCTGGGGGGAGATTGGAGCGGGTGAGAGAGAATCTTGAGCAGATTCCGCTGAGTGCGGAGCCTGCCGCAGGGGCCCAATCTCACAACCCTGAGAATCTCAAAACCCTCAGAAAGTGGCTTGAGCCGAAATCAAGGGTCTGGTGCTCATCGACTGAGCCACTCAGTCGCCCCTCCTCCGTCCATTCTTCAGAAGGAATCCTGGATGACTCTTTGCTGTGGCTGTTCCAGGCCCTTTTCTCTATATACCAATAGCACACATCAAAGACGTCTTCATTATCTGTTACACACACACACACACACACACACACACACACACATTACAAACAGTCGTACATACCTGTTGTACTCGTTCTGTTTGTTTTTTTCCTTTTCCCCATCATGGGCTTGTTTTCTGTGTACGTACAGAGGGGTCTTCCTTCCTTCTCTATTCTAGAGGTCTTTCTGATATTTTAATGTCTGCTTTGGATGGATGTATCAAAATTTGTTTCACTCTATGGATATATATTTTTTTAAGTTTTATTTATTTATTTGTCAGAGAGATTGGACAGGGGAGTAGTAGGCAGAGGCAGAGGGAGAGGCAGGCTTCCCGCTGGGCAGGGAGCCCGATGTGGAACTCGATCCCAGGACCCTGGGATCATGACCTGAGCCGAAGGCAGACGCTTAACCCACTGAGCCAGCCAAGCGCCCCTCACTATGGATATTGAGGATGTTTCTTATTTTGTATTATAATGCAGGCTTCCGTGTCCTTAGAACCTATATCTGTTTTTGTGCATTTTATAAGTATTCCTGTTAGGGATTCCTACGAGTGGAACTGCAAGGGTCAGAGGATTTCACGTGGAATTTTTATTCTTTTAAATGAACGTCGGTTTCCTCCTCTTCCAGGAGAGCTCCTGTCCTCTTCAGCAGCCTCCACTTCCGCTGAAAGATCCAGTACAAGGTACGCCAGGCTCTCGCAGTGCACACATTTATTCACTAGCATGACAAACTCAGTTTAATGGCATGTATTTTAGCAACTGCATACAGTTGTAAATGAGAATTTTGTATAATCATTGCTTAATGAAATATGTCCAAATGCCCGATGCTAGGAGAATAAGGTATTCACATGCTCTCAAAATACTGCATTCTGCAAAATCACTAGTCGGAAATCTTCCTTAAAAACACCATTACTGTGAAAGCCACAAGAAGGAAAAGAAGCGGTGATAAACTGGTTTGGGTGAAAGCACTTAACGTGACCACAGAGAGTACCACGTGATCCCTGCTTCCATCGTAACTTTCATGGGCCGGTGTGGGGGGTGTGGTAAGGGATATTGCTGAGACCACGAGAGAAATGGGAGGATGGATAGTATGCCCGGTGCCCTGCCCTTGATCTTGGGAGGTGTGCGCTGAAGTGCAGGGAACTAAAGGGTTGGGATGTCCTCACCTTACTGTGCAACTTCGGTGAGGGAAAAATTGTGTAAACATAGAGAGGTGCAGGGGGAAAATCAAATTTTGATGGCTGATGAATTTTAGTGTTGAGTCTATGTGTAATGTGTTATTCTTCGAAGCTTTCTGTCACTATTAAACTTTTAAAACCTCGGTAAAACAAAGGAACAAATCAAACTTGGCCATCAGGTCCTAAATCCATTTCAGGTATTTTTTTTTGAAACTTGGGTGTTTTTGGTGTCCTTAATTGTAATGTTGCTCACCAGTGGGTAAATATCAGGCAGGGCTCCTCCCAGCTTGTGGGTAGGGTTAATTTGGTTTGTATTTATTTTTTTTAAGATTTTTGTTTGTTTGTTTTTTAAATTTGACAGAGATCACAAGTAGCCACAGAGGCAGGCAGAGAGCTAGAGGGGAAGCAGGCTCCCCGCTGAGCAGAGAGCCCGATATGGGGCTCGATCCCAGGACCCTGAGATCATGACCTGAACCAAAGGCGGAGGTTTAACCCACGGAGCCACCCAGGTTCCCCTGGTTTTTATTTAAATGACCTGCTCTAAGAGGAGTTTATCCTTCATGAGTTTTTGAGTAGCCGCCTATGGGACATCTTGCTTCAGACTCAGATGCCATCCTGCTAGCTTTGTCAGGTAGTTTCTGACTTGGGAGCTGTTTCTCCTAACTTTGGAATCTGAGTGGTCACAAAATTCTCATGTCCTAGAGTCAGGAAGAGCATAATCCAGCAAATTCATAAAATAGAAGAAGAAGAAGAGAGAGATTTGTGGAATTGAAAGGAACAGTTCCTCTCCTTGGAGCTGAGCGGAATACAAAGGAGTAAAAAGGTCCAAAGCGAGGAAAATCATCGCAGTAATGGCATATAGTAAAAGGACTCTGATCTACCTGAGCCAGCCTCTTAAGAATTGTGTCCATTTTACAATGAGGACAGCCTCTAAGTGATGTGGGCCTTCCTCACGTTCCTGAAAAGTTGGATTTAAACGGAATTTGTGGGACACCCGGGTGGCTCAGTCGATTAAGCGTCTGCCTTCGGCTCAGGTCATGATCCAAAGGTCCTGGGATCCAGTCCTGCATCAGGCTCTCTGCTCAGCTGGGAGCCTGCTTCTCCCTGCACCTGCTGCTTGCCCTGCTTGTGCGATCTCTGACAAATGAACAAATAAATAAATAAACTGAATTTGTAAGGGTAATAGTTTGCATCATGTGAGTATAGTATTTAAGGAAATCTATTAGTAAATGTGAATATTAGTAAATGTTGCTTTTCTTTTCTTTTTTTCGATGCTTTCAGAAGTGACCAAAGTTCGAAGAAATCTCTTCAACCAGGAAATGATTTCTCCTTCAAAGAGATCGGCAAAGCGGGGGTTGCCTAGAAGCCACTCCGTGTCCGCAGTGGAGGGTCTGGAGTGTAAACTTGACAACGGCAAAAGGACCAAAGGTACTATATTTTAGGGTAGCCAAGAGAAGGGGGGCTCTTGTATCCAAAGCAGCCTCCCAACTCTTGGAGAAGCTCACTGATCTTCTCTTTTCCTCTCTGTGGTTACCATCAGTCTTCCCCTTGGGGGCTCTCTCCCTCCAAGCCTGCGTGTCTGCCCAGTCCGCCCCACAGACAAGCATCTAGTTTACAAAACCAATGAAAAAGAAAGGAAGGATAGTGACCAGTTGTTTTCAGATCTTTTAGAGGTTTTTGTTTGTTTTGGTTTTTGCTTTTTTTGTTCTTTTAGTAATTAAATATGATTCACCTGTGTTGGTTAGCGTCCCAAAGTTATGCAACCATCATCATGAATTGCGGATCGTTTTTAATCACTCTAGAAAGAAACCACATTCCATTATCGGTCACTCCCTTTCACCTGACTTTCCCAGTGGGAGGCTGGGTTTTCTCTCTTCTTGGTCAGTCTAGTTAAAGGCTTGTCAATTTAATGATCTTTTCAAAGAACTAACTTTTGGTTTTAATTGATTTTTTTTTTAAATGTTGTTTTTAATTCTTGATTTCATTGGTTTCCTACGCAGTCTTTATCATTTCCTTCCTTCTATTTGCTTTGGTGTTAGTTTGATCTTTTTGAACTTTTAAGGTTAAATTTAGGTTATTGATTTGAGATCTTTCTTTTTTTTTTAATACAGGCGTTACAGGTGCAAATTCCCTTCGAAGCACTTCTTTAACTGTATCCTCTAAGTCTGGGTGTATTTTGTTTTCATTATCTCAAAATATTTTCTGATTTCCCTTGTGATTTCTTCTTTGACCCATTGGTTATTTAAGAATATGTTAACCTCCCTGTACTTGTGAGTTTCCCAAATTTCCTGCTGCTGTTAATTTTTTTTTTTTTAAGATTTTATTTATTTATTTGACAGAGATCACAAGTAGTCAGAGAGGCAGACAGAGAGAGAGGAGGAAGCAGGCTTCCCGCTGAGCAGAGAGCCTGATGCAGGGCTCGATCCCAGGACCCTGGGATTATGACTGAGCCGAAGGCAGAGGCTTAACCCACTGAGCCACCCAGGTGCCCCTGTTGTTGTTAATTTTTAATATCATTCCATTGTGGCTGGAAAACAAACCTTGTATTTTAATCTTGTTTACTGAGACTCATTTTATGCTCTACCATCTGTTCTGTTAATGGAAAACGTTCTGTGTACGCTTGAGAATAACGTGCATTCAGCTTTTGCTGGGTGGAGTGCATTACTATTCATCTGTTTGATCTGTTTATTTTATAATTGAAAATTAATTCCCGGGGTTCCTGGGTGGCTCAGTCATTAAGCGTCTGCCTGCGGCTCAGGTCATGATCCCGGGGTCCTGGGATCGAGCCCCACATCGGGCTCTCTGCTCAGCGAGAAGCCTGCTTCTCCCTCTCCCTCTGCCTACCTCTCTGCCTGCTTGTGATCTCTGTCAAATAAATAAAATCTTTGGGGAAAAAAAAGAAAATTAATTTCCTTTATCTATTTCACCCATCCCTCACCCACCTCCCCTCAGACAACTACCAGTTCCATGTATTTAAGAGTCTGGGATTTTTTGTTTTGTTTTTTTAGATTCAACATGTAAATGAAACCATATGGTATTCATCTTTCTCTGACTTACTTCACTTAGCAAAATGCCCTCCAAGACCATTGATGTCGTCACAGATACCAAGATCTTATTCTTTTTTTATGATTGAGTAATATTCTATTGCATATATACCACAGCTTTTTCCATCTGTCAGCGGACACTTGGATGGCTTCCACATCTTGGCTCTCTGTAAAGCTGGAGTAAACATAGGGGAGCTTGTATTTTTTCGAATTAGTGGTTTCATTTTCTTTGGGTAAATACCCAGTAGTGGAATTACTGAATTATATGGTCATTCTAATCTTAATTTTTTAAGGCACCTTCATACTGTTTTCCCCAGTGGTTGCATTAGCCTGTATTTCACCAACCTGGGGCTACCATTTTTTCCACATCCTCGCCAACACTTGTTGTTTTCTTTTCCTTTTTTTTTTTTTAAGATTTTGTTTATTTATTTGACAGATCACAAGTAGACGGAGGCAGGCAGAGAGAGAGGGGGAAGCAGGCTCCCCCCTGAGCGGAGAGCCCGAAGTGGGGCTCGATTCCAGGACCCTGGGATCATGACCTGAGCCGAAGGCAGAGGCTTTAAGCCACTGAGCCACCCAGGCGCCCCCACTTGTTGTTTTCTTGTGGTGTTGATTTTAGCCATTCTGACAGGGGTGATGTGATAGCTCACTGTAGTTTTGATTTTAATTTCCCTGATGATAAGTGACGTTGAACATCTCTTCAGGTGTCTCTTGGCCATCTGGATGTGTTTGAAACAATGTCTGTTTTAGGTCTTCTGCCCATTTGATTGGATTATTTTTTGGCATTGACTTGCCTGAGTTCTTATTTTGGATAGTAACCCCTGATGACATATGTCATTTGCAAATATCTTCTCCCACTCAGTAGGTTGCCTGGTCGTTTCGCTTTTTTCCTTTGCTTTGCAGAAGCTTTTATATTTTGGTGTAGTCCCAGCAATTTGTTTGCTTTTATTTTCCTTGCCTGAGGAGACATATTTAAAAAAGAAGTTGCTAAGGTTGGTGTCAAAGAAGTTACTGCCTGTGTTCTCTTCTAGGATTTTTATGGTTTCAGGTCGTATATTTAGGTCTCTAATACATTTTATTTTTGTGTATGGTGTTAGAAAGTGGTTCAGTTTCATTCTTTCGCATGTAGCTGTCCAGTTTTCCCAGCACCATTTGCTGAAGTTACTATCTTTTTGCCATTGCGTATTCTTACCTCCTATGTTGTAGATTGGTCATATAAGGGTGGTTTACTTCTGGGCTTTCTGTTGTGTTCTATTGATCTATGTCTGTTTTTGTGCTAGTACGATACTGTTTTGATGACTACAGCTTTGTAGTAGCTCTTGAAATCTGGAATTGAGAAGATTGTTCTGGCTAATTGGGGTCTTTCGTGGTTTCATACAAATTTTAGTATTATTTGTTCTAGTTCTGTGAAAAATGCTATTGGTATTTTGATAGAGATTGTATTGAATGTGTAGGTTGCTTTGGATGGTATGGACATTTTAACAATATTAAATCCTCCAATACTATGGACATTTTAACAATATTAAATCCTCCAATGCATGAGCGTGGTATAGCTTTCCAATTATTTGTGCCATCTTCTATTTTTTTTCATCAGTGTTTTATAGTACTCATCATACATGTCTTTTACCTCCTTGGTTAAGTTTATTCCTGGGTATTTTATTCTTTTTGGTACAATTGCAAATGGGATTGTTTTTCTTTTTTTCTTTTTTTTTTTTTTTTAATTTTTTTTACTTTTTAAGATTTTTTTTATTTATTTGGGAGATTGAGTGAGAGAGAGAGCCCACGAGCAGGGGCAGAGGGAGAGGGAAAAGCAGGCTCCCTGCTGAGCTGGGAGCCCAAAGCAGGGCTTGATCCCAGGACCCTGGGATCAGGACTTGAGCCAAAGGCAGATGCTTAACTGACTGAACCCCTGAGGTGCTCCCGTTTTCTTTTTCTTTCTGCTACTTCATTACTCGTGTGTAGAAATGTAACATTTCTGCATACTAATGTCTTGCAACTTTACTGAATTTATTTATCAGTTCTAGTAGCTTTTTGATGGAATATTTAGGGTTTTCTCTATATGGTATTGTGTCATCTGCCAATAGTGACAGTTTTACTTCTTCCTTACCAATTTGGATGCCTTTCATGTCTTGTCTGACTGCTGCAGCTAGGATTTCCAGCACTGTGTTGACTAAAAGCAGTTGAGAGTAGACACTCTTGAACTTGGGGAAAAGCTCTGTTTTTCACCATTGAGTATGAGGTTAGCCGTGGGGGGTTTTCATCTATGGCCTTACTACATTGAGGTATGTTCCCTCGAAACCTATTTTGTTGAGAGTTTTTATCATAAGTGGATGCTGTAGTTTGTCAAATGCTTTTTCTGTATCTACTGGGAGGATCATTTGGTTTGTATTTTCTCTTGTTCCTGTGAGATAGCACATTGATTAGCAAATATTGAATCACCCTTGCTTCTTTGGAATAAATCCAACTTGATTGTGGTGAATAATTTTTTAATATATTCTTGAATTCAGTTTGCTAATATTTTGTTGAGGATTTTTGCCTCTATGTTCATCAGAGATTCTGGCCTGTAGTTTTCTGTAGTGTCTTTGGTTTTGGTGTCAGGATAATGCTGGCCTTGTTGAATAAATTTAGAAATTTTCTTCCTGTTTTATTTTTTGGAATAGTTTGAGAATTTGGTTTCTTTTAATAATTTTTTTAATAAGATTTTATTTATTTGTCAGTGAAGAGCATAAGCCAGGGGGAGCAGCAGGCTCCCTGCTGAGCAAGGAACCCGATGTGGAAATTGATCCTAGGACTCTGGGATCATGACCTGAGCCACCCAGACATCCCTCTTTTAATAATTTTTATTACTTTATTGATATTTTCATTTTGTCATACATTGTTTTCCTGATTTCATTTACTACTTCATTATTTTCTTGAGCTCATTAAGCATATTTAGAAAACTTGATTTGGGGATGCCTGGGTGGCTTAGTTGGTTAAGCGTCTGCCTTCAGCTCAGGCCATGATCCCAGGACCCTGGGATCGAGTCCCTCATTGGCTTCTTGCTCAGCAGGGAGCCTGCTTCTCCCTCTGCCTGCCTCTCCCCCTGTTTGTGCTCTCTCTGCGCGTGTCTCTCTCTTTGACAAATAAGTAAATAAAATCTTTAAGAAAAGAAAAAAACAAACTTGATTTGATGTCCTTAACGTTTTTTTTTTTTGACATATTGAGGGCATCAGCTCTGTTTTCCAAACTTTTTGTAAGGCTTATATTATTCCATGTTGTGTGTGGTCACGGAAGTTTCTACCTGTGGTTAGTCAGTGACCTGACAAAGATTTCCTTAAATGTCTGACTCCAAAAAGGGAAAAACAAGAAGGTATTTTTGTCTCTTTAAATCTTCCCAGGGATGAGGTGCCTGGGTAGCTCGGCTGGCTAAACATCTGACTCTTGATCTCAGGGTTGTGAGACGGAGCCCTGAGTCGGCCTCTGTGCTCCACATGAAATCCACTTGAGTGTCTCTCTCAAAAATCTTAAAAATCTTCCCAGGGTAGGGGCACCTGGGTGGCTCAGTGGGTTAAAGCCTCTGCCTTCAGCTCAGGTTGTGATCTCAGGGTCCTGGGATCGAGCCCCACATTGGGCTCTCTGCTCAGCAGGGAGCCTGCTTCCCCCTCCCTCTCTGCCTACCTCTCTGCCTGCTTGTGATCTCTGTCTGTCAAATAAATAAATAAAATCTTAAAAAAAAAAAATTAAAAAAAAATCTTCCCAGGGTGCATTGAGGGAAGCTGCTGCATCCTGAGAGGTCCAAAACCAAGGCAGTTGTCTGCACTCAGAAGTCCACTAAGCACACAACCCCAGGTTTGGAGGACAGAGTCCCCACTGTCTGTCTGCTCTGCCACCAGCCAGCTGCTCCCAGAATGTGGGCCTCTCCCCACCACTGCAGCAGGGCTGAGGAAAGGAGATCATAGCTATCCATGCATGGCATTCCCTTCCTGAAAATCAGCATCTCCCTTTCATATAAAGCATTTCCCTTATTGTTACCAGTGTCCAGTCGGGTTCCATAGTTCCAAAATACTTGATTCTGATCATATCCCCCCCAGCTTACTAGTTGTTTTTGGTGGAGAGACCAACCCCAAGAGCTTCTATGGCACTAATTTGTGGAACATCACCCCTGTTGCCCGATTATGATTAATATCTTATAACAGCCTCATTCAGATTAATACCAGTTTGATTTCATTAGCATTCTAAGACTTTGCCCCTATAAATTCAGTTCTGTTTCCTACTCCCTCCTTCGTGCTATACTGTCATACACATTACATCTTTGTACGTTGTATGCCCATCAACACCAATTTATTTTTCATTTGTATTTATTTTTTTAAAGTAGGCCCCACAGCCCGGTGTGGTGTCCCAACACAGGGCTCAAACTCAGGACCCTGGGATTGAGACCCGAGCCGCAATCCAGAGTCGGACACCTAACTGACTGAGCCACCCAGGCTCCCCATCGACACCAATTTATAATTATTACTTTATCTTTTAACTCCTAGGAGAAAAACAGTTACAAACAAAAAATGCTTTTGTGTTGTGCATTATATTATTTTTTTATGTAGTTCCTTCATTGGTGCTAATTCTTCCCACAGATTCCTCTCCCCTTGAGTGCCCTTTCAGTCTAAAGGACTCCCTCTAGTGGGGCAGGTCTTCAACTTAAAAATTCTCTTCAACTTAAAAATTGTGTTTTTTGGGGGGCAGTTTGTTTTAATCTGGGAATGTGCCTTCATTTTGAACAAAAATTTTGCGGGATAGAGAATTCTTGGCTAAGTCTTTTCAGCCCCTTGAGTACATCATCACAGTGTTTTTGTCCTTCCTTTCTGGTAAGAAACCAGCTGTAGCCCCTCTAGAGGTTCCTTTGTACTTGAGGAACTCCCTGATCTTGGGCTCCTTTCAAGACCCTCTCTCTGACTTCTGACAGTTTGATTAGGATTTGTTAAGTGTGGCTCTCTTTGACTTTATCCTACTTGGGTTAGTGAGGTTCATGGATGTGTAATATTTTTCATCAAAGTTGGGAAGTTTTCAGCCCATATTTCTTCAGATGTTCTTTGTGCTTCTCTCTCTTCTCTTGGGATTCCTCTTATGTGGATGTTGCACTTGACAGTGTCTGAGACGGTTTCTTCTCATCCTTTTTCTGCCCCTCAGACTGGATAATCTAAATTAAGCCACCTTCAAATTTGTTGACTCTTCTCCTATCTCATATCTTTGGCTAAGCCATTCTGATATTTTCATTTCTCAGCTTTACAATTTCTGCTTGTTTCTTTTTTTTAGGATTTCTGTCTTTTTATTGATGCTGTCTTTGGGGCAAGTCCTCAGTCTCCTACTTCCCTTTGGTTCTTTGAATGTGGTGTTTTTAGGTCCTTGAACATATTTCAGCTAATTCAGAGTCTTGGTCTAACAAATCCACTGTTTGGAATTCCTTAGGGACTGCTGCCACTGACTGGTTTATCTTTTTCCCTGCACCTGAACCAAACTCTCTTGCTTATTGCATGTCTCATGTTTTATTGACAACTGGACATAACAAGGCAGTTCTGACAGACCTGCCCCTCCCAGCCAGGGTTGGTTGTTACCGTTGGTGCCATTGTTTGCTGGGTGACTTTCCTGAACTAATTCTTTAAAGCCTGTATTCTGTCCTGTGTGGCCGCTGACGTCTGCTCAGTTAGCTTAGTGGTCCTGCTTGGTGATCGGACCGATTTCCTTCAGTGCCTGGAACCAGTAAGTTTCTCAGCCTTTGCCGAGGGTCCTAGGTGCCTGGGCTCAAGCCCTAAGAGAGAAATGTAAGCCGCCTGGCTGAGTGCTGGAGGCCTCGAGGTTAGTCACGGTTGCCAGCTCAGGCCTCAGAGGTTTCTCCAGGGCACGCACACGCCCCTACATTGCATGGAATTTGAGGTTCCCAGGAGTATGTTGGAGGTTTGCAAAGGCCCCTGTAGATGTCTCCTTCCCCAGTGTTCCCTTTTAAACTCCTGGTGAGCATGTTGGCCCCCGCTGTTACCACTCCCTCCGGTAGCTGTAACGTTTACGGTCACTGCCAATTGGTTTCAGTCTGTGCTCCCTGGACAGGGGTGGTTTGCACTCGCTGAGTTCCAAGGTCCAACAGAGACCACCCTTGTGCATGTGGCTTTGCAGGAAGCTGCCAGACAGGTCAGATGATGACAGCTGGGAGTGGCACTTTGGAGGAGCCTCTGTCTCCTTCAGCCCACTCACAGGCCCCCGCGCTGTTGGTTTGCAGGCGGGTTGCAGACTGTTGGTTCTCAAGGCTAAGGGCAGGGGAGAGGGGGGTCAGGACCCAGGCAGGATAAAATTCTGTGAAGCTTGCTGTTACTAGGATTCAGTGTTTCTTCTTGCACAAATACTCCGCGGATTGTTATAAACTGGTTAATTTCCAGTGTTCTAAAACTGATTTTGCCCATTTTTGCCCAGTGTTCTCATTCCTTTTATGGAGGAGAGTTATTTCTAGAGGTCCTTATGCCACATTCCAGCTGATATCCCTTCTCTTCCTAGTCACTTTTTTTCTTTTTAAGGGAGAGAGAGAAAATCTTTTTTTTTTTTTTTTTTTTTTTTTTTTAAGATTTTTGTCAAAGGGACAGGGAGAGCGCATAAGCAGGGGAGGGGCAGGCAGAGGGAGAAGCGGGCTCCCCGCTGAGCAAGAGGCCCGATATGGGACTTGATCCCAGGACCCTAGGATCATGACCTGAGCCGAAGGCAGATGCTCAACTGACTGAGCCACCCAGGCATCCCATTTCCTAGCCACTTTTAACTCCCTTTAAACTCGACCTCCCATGAGCAGCTTAGTTGTATACTTTACTGCGGAAATTTATGCCAGCTGGCTGGATCTTATTATTAAATACCTTAAAGCTGTGTGGCATATCAGCATTTTTGCATACTTTAGTTCATTTAATTATAAATATAAGAACCACTGATGAGTGAATGTATTAGCTCTAATGAATGTTTTGCTTTGTTTTTCAGGATTGCTTATTAGAGAAGAATTTTATAGTATTTTACATTGGCTTATTATTTAGTCTGTAATGCTGATAAACTGTTGTATCATGTTAAATCGAGTCCTGTGGTTGGTCAGACATTAGCTCAGAAACCATTAAGTGCAAACAAAAACCACTCCGGCATGAGTAGTAAGCCATACCTAAGTTCAAACTGTTCCCCTGGGGCTTGCTGCTGCTTTTTGATAAGGTTAAATGACATTTGTGCTGTTTATATCTTAGGTTATCACAGACTGCTGACGAGGAGCGTGGCTGAGACTCCCATACATAAGCAAGTGTCCAGAAGGCTCCTTCATAGACAAATCAAGGGCAGGTGAGTAATAGCCTTGTCCAGCTGCTTTGTGCACCGCCTCGGCCTTGCTAATGGTCTTGTGGGCATGTTGTCCATCTCTACAAGCCTCCTGTGACTCACGTCTTAACTGACTTGCTTATAACCAAAGAGTGTTGAGCACTCTGTAAATTCTTTGAGGGCTGGAGAACCACACAGAATGTACTTTTCCTTCTTTCACTTGGCATAATTAGAGATTTATCTGTAGTGTTGCATGTGTCCATAGTTCATCTGTGTGTGGGGGGGGGTGTGTGTGTGTGTGCGCGTGCGCATGCGCTTACATGCCCGTGCGCTTAGCAGCCTTCCATCAAGTACATATTCAACATTTTTAAAACCACTCATCATTGGATGGAGGGAGTCATGGCTGCTGGGCAAGGCTGGAAGTCTAGGATCTCAACTTGGCCTGTGGGTGTTATTGGGCCACAGTTTTCCATGGCAGTTAGTGTCTGAAAGTTCGTCCTGCTAGGCTGCCCCTTTCCTGCTTCTTTAGCTGCGAGAACTGGCTTGAAGGGCAGTGTTTGTACCTGTCGATGTATTTGGATTGTCTGTCCCCCCAGCACCCAGTCTGGGAGCTATGAAGCAAAAAGGTAACTCCAGGAGCTCACTGTCCTGTCTCTCCTGGGATCTTGAGGCAGTCTGCCTCTTTTCACCACCTTTTAGTCTGTAGTTCATTTTATGTATAACATCCTGGGTTTTTAGCTGCCCTTCACAGGAACAATGGGGAGCCCCGGCAAGGCTTTGTCTAGACATTACTTGTGTACAGATTTAACACACTTGCGTAAAAATCTGTAGGACGAATTGCAAGAGGTGAAATTGGTGGGTTAGAAGGCATACATATTTCTAATTAGTTTTTATATATTGTAAAACTGCTTTCCAAAAAAGCGTCCTAAACATTTTACAATGGACGGTATAGTGTGCGAGCATGCTGATACTGGCGGTATCAAACCCTGTGGTCTTTGCTGCTGTGTGAGGTGAGAGGCTGGGTCTCTAAAGTGCATTGAGCATGAGTTGATAACGAGGGACACTGAATAACCCTTACACTTGTTACTCCTTAAGGTCGTCTGACCCTGGTCCTGATATTGAAGTTGTTGAAGAGTCCCCAGAAAAAGGAGCAGACGGTATTGCCTCCATTTGTTTTGCGTTGCACACGGGGCTTGAACTCACGACCCTGAGATCAAGACCCGAGCTGAAATCAAGAGTCAGATGCCTAACCAGCTGAACTACCCAGGAGCCCCTCTTCTGTGTTGCATTTCAACTAGTTTCTGTGAAAACCTTTCTGTACTTGAGTTGTCTGTCGCTTAGCATATCCCAAGATATTTTACAGATGTTGTGACAGCTCTGAGTCCACAGTATAGATCAGTAAATATTTATTAGTAAATGGTCTCTTACACAGAATTTACCAAGGGGACTCCTGGAGAAATCTTTTTCCACAGTAGAAACGGAATTCAGGATACAGGCCAACCACTGTGTAATACAAAGACCTGTGGTTTATTTTAAAAGTGCATGTGCAGTCACCTGGCTGGCTCCGTGGGCAGAGTGTGCGGCTCTTGATCTCGGAATTGTGAGTTCGAGCCCCGTGTTGGGTGTAGAGATTACTTAGAAATAAGATCTTTAAAAATAAAAAAAAAAAAGTGATGCAGGGGTTTCCTAAAAAAACCTTTTTTAATGATTCAAGTAATTTGCTTATTGTATAAAAATCAGAAAACAGAAGCAAAATTTTAACAATCACTTCATAATCCCACCACTTAGAAATATGTTTAACATTTTAGTTTTAATAATACTCTTACAGGTGCCATTTCTGTACAAATGTATGTAACATAAGTAAGAAAACTGCAATTTTTAAATTTTAAAAATTTTTTACAAAAGTCACACTATACAAAGCTTTTTTTTTTCTCCCCCACCCAACATTGTGGTTAAAGGCTGGCAGTTGAGACTTGTGAGGGTGACAGTCTAGTGGCTCAATGGTTTTTTTTGGTACCATTTGGGGCCATATATCATACCCTTTGTAGCTTTGTTATGACACTTCAGAAGTCTCCATCTTTGTCAAATTTCCATCTTGTATGTGGTATTACATAAATTTTATCCATTTCATACGTGGGAAAATGTAAAAAGCTTGCATTTCTCCCTGGATACTAACTGGGATTCTGGTTTTGCAGAAATAAGCTTGAGACGAAGTCCTCGAATCAAACAGTTGTCATTCAGCAGGACAAATTCTGGTTCCTTCTATTCTGGATCTCAGCCAAAGTCTCGAAGTGTGCAAAGAGTTCGTTCCTTCCAGCAAGAAAAGTCAGGTAAGATACTTGTTCATCTGCCTTCAGAAGTCTAGGCCTACTTGGCAGGAAGTGTTTTTGGGAAAAGTACAAAATTTGACATTTTCTTGCTTGACGCTGGAGCAGTGGAATAGGTATGTCCATGAGAGGTTCAGGGTGACGAACAATCCAGGACCTTCGTTAACAGTGTCCTCCCTCTGGGTTATTACAGCTGGTCATCCACACTATCCTCACGGAGTAATTATCCATTCAACAGGAATTACCCATTATTTCCACCTGTGCTCACATTCTACACTCAGATGTCCTAGCTAGAAGGTGATACAAGTTTGGCCTTCATGCTTTTATCCATTAGTCTGGAACCTCAGTCATGTGCTTTTATATTTACAAATAGTTTTACTTGCCTAACATATAAGGGCTGAAGTTCATATGCCAGCTTATTAAAATTCAAGATGGCAGCCATAACTAGTTGCTGGCATTTAACTAGGTGGGATCCCTCCCCACTCCCACTTGCTCTAAAACATTGTCAAACTGTCATCTTGTATGGACTGGCTGTTCTATTAGTATCGGGAAGGCAGGAGCTGAGAAAGACTCACTGTTTTTGACTTGCAGGCCAAAGAGAAAATTCTCCAAACCAAAGTATTCGTTCTCCCAAAAGGCTGCTTTTCGGGGCATTGTCCGAGATGGTCAGTCCCTCAGAGAAGGGTTCAACTCGAATTCAGAGATCTTCAAGAAACCCACTGGGCTCTGAGATACCCAGAGCTTATCAGGTATAACATTTCTTCAATGTTTAAAAAAGTGTGGTCTTGAGGGGAAAACAGAGACATGGCCCAGAAAACCCACTGAGTCTGTCAGGGATGAACAAGTAAGCAGGTGATCCTTCACTACTACTCGCTCTTTAGGGGTGGTGGGGTTGATCCAGATGAATGATCACTGGGTACGTGGGGATGTGAGGCAGCAGTCCGGCTGAGGCTGTTGTTGGGGTCACCCACCATTTTTATTATACGCTACGTATATATCTTTCTGAAATGTGCAGGGGTCAGTCCTCTGTTTCCCTTACAGTGCCCTTCTAATCTAGTCACTCTGGACTGCTCCCTCTTCCGGGACAGAGCCAGTCAGTCCTGCCACTTTTATTTACAGACTGAATTTCATAATTCATTCCCTCTTCTCCCTCCTGTGCAGCTCCTGCCTGCATTTCTTTTCCCTCTCATGTCCATCCTGCCCCCAGAGGCCAGAGTGATCTTTCACACTGCATCACTATGCTTAAAGCTCTACCATTCTTTGTTCAAGCAGGGTTTTCTAGGTTTTCCTAAAATGGAACCCTCGTGTTAAAAAAATAGTTGTTTGGAAACCCAATAAACTGCTTAGAGGTTGGGGGAGGACAAAGTTCTGGGGATGGGTCTGAAGATCACTGATCTCTAGGGCCAGGTTCAGTCCTCCCCAGACAAGCATGGGCCTCTGTGGGCTGCCACTGCACACCGCCCGCCCCCAATAATCCACTTTCCCGGCAACATCAGAGTGCACGTAGCTGCTGCTGTTGACTGTAGGCACAGACGACTATAGAGCAAAGGCACAAGAGTTCCCTCTTCCCCACTTCCCCACCTTTGGCCTCTACCTCTGACACCCATTCTTAAAGACCTGACTCCCTGTTCCTGTCCCCCTTTCCTGCGAGCTGGGTTAGACAGCCGGCCCGCTCTTGTGCCCCCACACTGTCCCATGCACGGCCCTGTCTGTGCACTGGCAACACCGTGTTTTCTCTGGCTGTGCCTCAATTGAACGTGAAATGCCCAGTCGACCAGGATTCCCTTGAGATAATCAGATAAGGTAGAAACAATAGGTGTCTGATCTCCTCTACCTGTCGGAGTGTGTCACTGCATTTTGCAGGGAGGGAGGGAGAGTCTCCTCCCTGAGATGTTGTCTGTACCTTATGTCTGTATATTGGACGCTCCACCCTCCGTCACACACCCGCATGGGGCCTGGCACATAGTGGGAGCGTGGCGGGCACATGTTGAACGCAGATGAACAGCAGAGGGAGACCAAGTCAGAGATCAGAAGGAGCTGTCTCCTTGAAGAGAAAGGTATCTGTGAGCGGTGGAGGGATACGTTGTTAGAGGCAAAGCCTGGTTTAGCTGGCCTGTGCACGTGATGAAAACTTTTTTTGTCCCAGACCCAAGATTAGACTCAGTGTTTGGTGCTAGAAAAAGTAGCCAAGTGAAATCTGGGTCATGGCTGGAAGCGGAAACGTGTCACTGTTGGAAAGCCAGCTTAGGGTCATTCTGTCGGCTGCCCAGATATCTCCCATCTGCCTTTCTGTTTTAGAGAGGACTAAAATACTCGACAGAGAGTACAGGTTATTATGGTATTTAAGCACTGAAATAAGCATCTCTTTATAGACTCCTAAGAAGAGGAACCAGAAATCTCCAAGCTGTTCTAAAGCTACACCAAGGAGGTTCCCTCATTCGCCACGAATGCCGCTGTGCTCCCCTGAAAGTCGGCAGAAGCCCCTGACGGAGGTGACTCCTGCCAAACAGGTCATTTTTAAGGAGTCCTTAAAAGACTCCTCACATGGCTGGGGCTCACCATCTCAACCCAGAGTCACTCCTCGGAAAGGACACTCCCTGGCAAAAGGAGGAACCTCTCCTCTTGAAAAGAAGACACCAAGAACTCCCAAAAGGCCAAGTGGTCAGTCACCTAGATTTCTGAGTTCTCCTTGGCCACCTTCACTGACTTCCAGTCCCGAGAGCCCCTCTGGCCCGGAAGCCCTGATCAGGAGTGAGAGTCTGACTCCCGTCGGGTCTGCACTGACCACGCCTCCCAGAGCAGCAGCCTCGGGGGGGCTACGGGAAGGCGCTCTGGAGCCAACACACTATCGTCCCAGTGTCCCTGGGGACAGTCCTCCTCAGGCAGAGGCACTTGTGCAGAAATGGAAGGATGAAGCCTTCTCAGTCTCCAAGACACCGAGGAGCACCAATCTGATTTCTCCCCCAGCTCTTTCTCTAGAAAAACCTTTGACCTCTCCTTTAGGTGAGATTTCTAAGAGTCCATTTCGGGAATTTTCGATAGACTCTCCTCCTCCTGAAGAACTGGACTGGGAAGAGCCCCTGAAAGCACCCACTGGAGCCTTGTCTCTCTCCTGTCCTGTTCCTTCCACTCCCCCCCGAATCTCTCAGATAACCCAGTCTGACCCCGTGCCCCCTCGGCCCCCTTCCAAAATTGGAAAAAGGCACAGAGAGATCCCCAACCTGGACCCGAGCACCTCCGCTATGCCTAGAGTTCCCACAGCTGGCAACCCAGCTGCCCTCACAGACGCTAGAAAGAACCAGAAGGAAGTGACCCTCTCTCCTCAGCCTTCCCCGGAAAGACACAGTTATTCTGGGACTGGCTGCGGGAGTGACTGGCGTATGTCCTCTCCTCTTGTCGCGAGTGACACAGATGACCTCACTCTCCTGGACCAGGCGGAGCGCCACGGCAGCGACGGCACGCCAGGTCACGTCATGCCCGCGGAAGAAGGTGACGCGTCAAGGACAGTGGTGGCCCGGGAGAAGCCTTCTCCGGCCAACCCCGGGAGTGCTGCATCCCCTGCTTCCCGCCGGCCCGACTCTCCCCTGGCCCCATCCTATGCCCTGCGCTGCACCGCGGACAGAAGGCAGCGCCGGGCCGCCGCGCAGCTGGAGAACCCGCAGTCTCCGACTCGGCCCTCCCGAGCCTCTGGCAGCCCCCGGGCCTACGAGGTGGAGCTGGAGATGCAAGCTTCCGGCCTGCCCAAGCTGCGCATTAAAAAGATAGACCCCAGCTCCCTAGCCGAAGCCGAGCCTCTGAGACAGGAGGGGACATCCCTGGGAGAGGAGAGTGCCCTCCCTGCACTCAGCATGCCTGGGGCCACCAAGGCCTCGGGGAAACCTGAAGCCACCTACGTGTCGCCCCCCTGCCTTCGCCCCTCACACAGCACCCCCGGCAAGAGCGGGGGACAGACCTACATCTGCCAGTCCTGTACCCCCACCCGCTGCCCCTCTAGCACCCCCTCTCCGTTTCAAACAGACGTCGGTGTTCCCTGGACCCCGTCCCCCAAGCACAGCGGGAAGACCACTCCCGACACCATTAAAGACTGGCCGCGGAGGAAGAGGGCGGTGGGCGGCGGCACTGACCTTCTTGCAGGCGTGTCCCTGCTCGAGCCGGAGAGAAGGGAGCGAGGAGGCCTTGAACTCGGCGGCAGCAGGACTCCCCTCTTGGGGGATTTTGAGCTTGAGGGGGTGTGCCGGCTGCCAGACCAGTCACCTCCCAGGGACTGTGCGCCTCAGGCTGAGGAAGCCTCCTGGGGACAGTTCGGGTTGGGTTCCAGGAAGAGGCTCCTTCCTGCCAAGGAGGAAGCGGAGGGTCCCGCCAAGAGAGCGTGTGAGGAGCCGAGAGGAGACGCAGAGCTTAGCGGGAGCAGGGAGCCGTCTCCGCGTGCGAGTGGGTGGCACCTGCCCTCCGCGGGCGACGACGAGGTGTTCCTTCCAGGTGAGTCTGCGTCCGTGGGGTTGCGGCTGGCGGTGCTGGGCACAGAGGCATCGGGAGGCTCCCTTGTCTGGGGGCGCCACGGGGCGTGCTCACCCTGTCCCCTCCCATAGCTTCCACGCCCCCGCCCGGCTGGGCGCTGCGCAGCTGCCTCTCAGCCAGCGGCCTGCAGGCTCTCACCCACTCTCCGCTGCTGTTCCAAGGGAGGACGCCTTCCTCGCAGTGTCACGAGGCCAGAGGTAACTCGTTAAGCGAGGGTCCTGGAGACGTACGTGAGTCCTTCGGGTGACTCCCCGGAGGTAGCTCAGGGTTGCCAGACAGTAGGATGGTGGAGGAGTCGGAAGGAGTGCCCGAGCTGGGACAGAGGACTTTGTCCCTGTGGGGTCCTGTGCTCGTCCCAGAGAAACTCCACCGCTGGAACTCCAGTATGTCGTGGAACAGCTTCTGGAAGCAGTGACCCCTGTGCAGTGTAGTCACGGGCACCTGAGGAGCGTGCGTCGGGCAGCACAGGTGGCACGCTGGCAGTCTGCGCCCCGCCCCCCCACGGGGGCGTGGGGCTCACACCTCTGTGCTTACATTAGGATTAGAGACCGGCTGTTGTGCTCAGCCTCCGGACACGAGGATTCCCTTTCCTCGACCCACCTGGGAAGGGACTGGCTTGCAGATGCTCAGTGCACTACCAGGTTAGAAACATCTAGAACTGTAGAGGAACACAGGAGGCCACAATCCCCAAGACCAGAATTTAAATGTACACCCCGCTGAAGGAATTCAGACCACGGTACCGTGCTTTCTCAGTCACTAACCGCCACCGGCCCCGTGCTATGAGGGCACAGAGCCCAGTAGAAAGCGCAGGTTGCCCTTCCTCAGCACGTGAGCCACAGGCGGGCTGGGGGGACATCCTCTGCATGTGGACTCCCTCCTGTTCAAGCCCCTTTTCTGTTCCATGCTCACGTCCTGCATGCCCTCTCTGTCTTGTTCTAGATGAGGACATAGAGGTCCTCCCCCCAACGGCCGAGGACTCTCCTTTCAGCCGAGCGTTCTCCAGGAGACGCCCCATCAGCAGAACTTACACACGGAAGAAGCTGATAAGCTAGTTAGGATGGAACTGGGTGGGGGACTTAATATGAGCTTGGCCAGAGCCACCACCTCCCCAGGACAGACAAGTGCTTGGAGAGCAGTTTGCTGTGGCCGTTTGAGGAATTCTTACCCCAGAAACTCAGTTCATCTGAGCCAGGGCCTGACTACTCTGTCCCACGTCACCCTGGGCTGGCTGCACAGAAACAGGAAGAAGCGGGGCACTCTGAACAGAGGCTCAAAAGATGAAGTCAGCCCCGTCCCCAGGAGCCTGCAGATACCAGGGCCTGGTCTCAGGTCTCTGTGATTCCCACAAGAGTCCCTCCCGGGAGGCCTGCCGCCCAGCCCTGCCCCTTGCTAGGGGAGGCAGACAAGGACTCTTAGAGCAGGCTCCCCTTCCAGTCCCCACCTCCGGGAGACCAAAGCCAGTCCAACAACCACCCCCTCACTTGGGAAGTGGGAGAAAGGGCTCCTTATGGGTCCCTCCCAAAGCTGAAGGCTGTGCCCGACAGCAGAATGAATTTCTTAACTTCCTCACGTCCTAATAAAACCCTCTCCAGCTATGCAGCATTCAGTGCCTTTTTGTTTAAACCTCGAGACCTCAGCTTGACTTACCCTGGCAGAGCTCCAGTGGTGGCTGATGCCGTGTCTCGTCTCCCAGTCAGCCCTGGAACCCAGGCCTGCCACAGCCCGGTCCTCTCCCTGCTGGGGAGAGGGGGGGCGGGCGGGGGGCAGCTCTCACTTGGCTCTGGCTCAGGGGTCTGACGTGCTTTCAAGCCTGTCATGTCCTCAAATTCTCTTGTCTTTAGGTGAAACTAAGTCAAACTTCTATTTCTTTCAGAGACATTTATTATAAAATGGTTTTACAAAACTTTAAAAATAGGCAAAGCTTCCCCATTCCCACCATAAACCTAAGACCATTTAAAACCCTACCCCGATGCCACTGACGGTTCTGGGTCTGGCGCTGGCTGAACCCCAGAGCGACAGGCACACAGATGCAGGCTTGAGGCCACAAGTGCCTTTTGCAAACTCTCAAGCCAAAAGATGGCAATATGGTACCATAGCTCAAAGGAAAAAGGGGGCATGAGTCTCCATATTTAAAAAATTGAGTCCCATTCATTTGGGCTGTAGTCGGAATTTGTAGACTCCAATTGGGTCAAGATAGGACCTGGATCTGCGGTGGGAAATCAAGACTGTCCTTCCCAGAAGCAGAGGCCAGCAGCGGGACTGCGCAGGGGGCTCAGAGGGTTGTCCCCCCACCCAAGGCGGGCTCTGCCCACGAGCCTACAGGGGGTTTTTCCTGACGTCAATCATTCCCGGGCTGGCTCTGCGCAGATCCCGCCGGGCTTTGGCCAGGGCCCCAAAGTTCCAGGGCAAAGCCACCTCCGTGCCGGGGTGCACCCGCCCTGCCAGAGGCTCGGGGGCCTCCCGCGGCCGCGCCTCTTCCATCAATCCCTGCTCCTCACCGCACAGGCTCGACCGTTTCCACGTCAGCGGGAGCGGGGCCCGGACCAAGTCCCGCACCTCTTCCCGGGCGCGGGGGGCACCGTCGGGGAGGGGCTGTGGCCGGAGCAGCTCGGGCGCGGCGGGGAGCTCCTCTTCGGTCGCGGGGGGCGGTCTGCTCTCCAGGCACAGCGTCCTCTTCTCCGCACCTGGCACTAGGAGTGAGGGCGCTGTTGTCAGAGCCGGAGGCCGTGAGCGACGTGTGACCCGCCCCTGAAAACCTGAGGTCAGCGCGGCTTCCCAGCTCCCCGCAGGTCTCAGCCCCGCACGGCAAAAAGCGGGGAAACGGGGGCCGCTCGCTGGTTCGGGGGAGAATTACCCCTGCTCGGGCCGGCGGCGCTCCAGCTACCGAGTTTCTGCTTCAGTTCCTGGTTCATCCACATGTGGCGGCCCAGCTCCTTCTCCAGGGCTTGAATCCGGCTCTCGTAGTGCCTCTTGCTGTCCGCTAGCCCCTCCCCGAGGTGATCTGCAGGGGACACACCCAAAGCCGAGGGGTGAGGGGCCGCGGGGTGGGCGGGGCGGGCGGGGTGGGCGGGGCCGGCGGGGGTGGGGCCGGCGGGGGGCGGGGCAGGCCGGAGGCGGGGGGCGGGGCCGGCGGGCGCTCACCTCGGCTCTGCTGCAGCAGCAGCTGCACACTCTGTTCGTGCTCCTTCTGCTGCAGGGTCAGCTGGCGGTCCATCTCCAGGCGCTGCCGCTCCAGCGCCACCTCCAGCCAGTACACCAGCCTCTGCTGCTCCTCCAGCTGCATCTCCAGCTCGGAGAAAGCAATCTGCTGCTGGTGTTGCTCTTCCCGGAGCGTCACGACCTGTCCCAAACCCAGACACGCTTGGCCCCTGGCCCTGGCGGCTCCCTTCCCCAGATGGTGCCCGCGGTGGGGGAGGGATGGGGGGAGACGCGACGGGGGGATTCGGCCAACTCGCCACCACCGCCGCCCCACGGTGAAGGTCACCAGGAAACCGCCAGGGGGTCCTGCTGAGCCAAGACAGGGCCTCGGACACCTGGACAGTCTTCTAGGCAGTGATGGCCCAATGACAAAAAAAGAGTCCGCGCTTTTTTTAACCAGATTTTTTTAACCAGATTCTTTTCTGTCCCTGCCTCAACCTCCTTCCTCCCTTGTCACATGCTCCTAAGCACGCAGGCAGAGCCTCGAGTGGTGGGATCTCCCTGTGGCCAGGATTTCTCAACCCTGGCACTACTGGCATGGTAGGCAGAAAATGCGCGGTTGTAGGTGTCTCTCTGGTAGGTTGTAGGGGAGTCGGCGGCATCCCTCGACCCCCACCCCCCACTGCAGTGGTGACTGGAAGCCTCTCCAGACATGGCCAGATGTCCCCTGGGGGCAAAACCCTCCCTGCCGAGAACCACTGATCCAGTGGGTACACTGAAGGGACCAATGGACCGGGCAAAGTGAGGAGAGGACTGGGTCTTACTTTCACTAAGAAAGGTTTTAGGAAGGAGAGTCTGAGGCAGTCCTGGAGACCAGTTAGCCCTGATTCTGTCCCCGCACTTGGGAGGAAGCAGGGCCTTCTCTGCAGCTGCCATCAGACGCCCCTGCCGCCCCCCTCCAAGCAAGCACCAGAAGGCGGCGACAGGAGGCCTGGGAGCCAGTGACCCACCTTGTCAAAATACTTGCAGAGCAGGGCTCTGGTCTCTGAGGACGAGAGGTAGCTGAGCTTGGCCATGAGGTTCATCTCACACTGGGACAGCAAGGAGGCCGAAGCCCGCAGCACCCGCTGGCGGCACGTGATGGCCTCGTTCTTGTACTCGATGGCCGCGTCCAGGGCCTCGATGGCCTCGTCCAGCTGGAACAGCGTCCGCTCCTCCTGTGGGACACAGGCCCGTGTGCAGGGGGAGGCCTGGCTTCTCGCGCCCACTCCCCAAGTGACAGACCTGGGCCGACAGTGCCGGCTCCCGGCCACAGGGGAGACAGCATGACCCCTCGTCCTGAGCAGGCAGTCAGCACGTCAGGAAGAGTCCCCGCCCCATATGGCAGGGACAGGCAGTTTCCAGCCTCGACCCTGGGGGGCCGCCAGGACTCTGAGAAGCCGCTTTCCGCAGCAGACTGCCTGCCTCTCCCGCCATCTACACCAGGAAGCCGAGAACACTCTACACGGAAGGGCAGGCGAGGCGGGACTGCCGCGGAGGCACCAGCGGGTCTGCGGGGCTGAGCAAGGCTCTCCCTGCTGCTCAGGGACTGGCCGCGTGGTGCGGGGCTGTGCTGCTGACACTCCTTCCCACCCGGGGAGCCCAGCCACGAGACACGCGGCAGACACTGCATAGGACGCGGGGAGCACCCGGGGTCCCCCTGGGCAGGAACCTCGAGGCCCCGGCCCGTGTGTCCCAGCCCCGGGGGACAGAGCTGGCAGCAGGGCCAGGCCAGCATCCCCCCGGCCGCCACACCCCTCTGGGTCTCACTGGCGGGAAAAGCACATCTGGGGAGCAGCAGGGCCCGAAGCACCGGCCGGGCCGCGGAGCACGGACGGATGAGGGACCAGTGAAGCCCAGCTGTGGGGCTTACCTCGGGCGACAGCAGGCTGCCCCGCCTCAGCTTGCCGTCGATGTCCAGGCGCTGCTTCAGCAGCGAGTCCTTCTCCTGGCGCAGGGCGTCGATCTCCCCGCGCAGGCGCTGCTGGCTCTGGGCGCTGCCCTGCCGCAGCTGCCCGCTCTTCTCCGATAGCTCCTTCTCCAGGTGCTCCAGCCGGCTGGACACGCGCACGATGTCCTCGCTGAGGGCCTGGGGGCGGCACCGCCAGGGGTCAGGGAGGGAGCGGGCCCCGGCCACCCACCCGGGAGCGGGTGGACACAAGTGGCCCAGCCCCACCCAGGGAGGCAAAGGAGGCTGCTGGCGCTTCCCTCAAGAGGCCTGCCAGCCAGGAACACTGCTCAGTGGGCAGGCCTGGCTCTCCATCCTGCGGGGCTCAGGGAGTGGGGCCTCAGAGGAGGGGCTGGCCCCCAGGGATGGCCCAGGACACAGACAAGCACGGGAAAAGATACTGGAAAAAAGAGGACGGCACGGACCAAAAGAAAGCAGGCCCTTCCAGGGGCCCGGTGCGGGAGGAAGAGAGGACTCTGCGAGCACAGGGAAGTTCTGGACGATCCGGCGGTGCCCTGGAGCTCCTGGCCTCCCGAGTGCTCTGTGACAGCAACAATGGGTCGGGAGCCCTACGGGGACCTCGCCGGAGCACTGGCTCCTGGCCCAGGCTCTGCTTCTGTGTTTGACACACCCCCTCGCCATCTGCGTGGCAACATGGGGCTTCCGCTCGACTCTGCTCGACTTGAGGTGGAAACTGGCTCAGAAGGTCTTATTTAGGAGGAAGCCATGACATGGGGTGGAGAGAGGCAGGCTGGGCCACGTGCCCAGGTCTCTCCGCCTCCGGCGCCAGGGAGGGCTGGTTCTCGGCCATCCCCCGTTTCTCCACCTGCCAGTCCCCGTTCTGCCCGCATAGCCCCGACCAGCGTCTTCTACCCGCACATCAGAGCCTGCAGCGTAAACACCCTAATGCCCCCGAGGCCGCAGGGGCCCGCAGGCTGTAGTCTCGTAGGACAAAGCATCACATGGCTGGGACTGACCTGGCAGGGACGCCACCCAGAAGCAGCTCACCTGTCTAGACCTCACCTGGCGGGGTTATTGTCCGCTGGCAGAGGGACCGCAACTGGAAGGAACCACTTATTGGAATCTCACCTGGCAGAACCTCACCTAGCAGAAACCCAGCTGCCAGGTCTCTCCTGGGAGGACCTCACCTGGCCGGACCTCACCTGGTGGGATCTCACCTGGCTGGACCGCAGGCGTTTGCTCTCCAGCCCCGTCTTCTCCTGCATCAGGGCCTCCTTCTTGGCCAGGATGGCCTCCCGCTTGTGGAGCTCCTCCCCCAGCTCCTCCAGGGCCCGCCGCTGCTGCAGGACCTTCTCCATCTCCTGATCCAGCCACCTCTTCTGCTCCTCGATCTTCTGGGGGAGGGTGGGGTGCCAGGGAGGGAAACTCAGCTCTGGAACGCGGCTGGTGGGCAGCTGCCCAGGGTCAGAGTGGGGAGAACGGCCCCCCCACTCCCCGCCATGGGCGCGGCGCCCCCCCCCCCCCCAACCTGCTGCTGCTCCAGGCTGACCACGGAGCCGTTGCTGCCACTGCGCCGCTTCCGCTGGAAGGCCGCGATCTCTTCCGTCTTAATCTTCAGGATCTTCTGCTGCTGCTCGTGCCTCCGCTCCAGCTCCTGGGGACGCACCAGGCAAGCGGCTCAGCGGCGGGGCAGTGGGGGGCGCGCCGGGTCTCTCCAAGAGCTGCCTGGGCTCCCCAAAGCCCCTGTAGGGACGGGCTCGCCACCCCACATCTCACGGGGCCCCACTCCACGCACAGCCCGCCTCTGCCCTCCCCTCTGCCGGAGGACACACTCAGCGAGGCCAAGCAACCCGCTCGGGAGGTCACACAGCTCCAGGTGGAGGGGGGCCTCCCCCAGACGTAGCCTCCTGCCCCCGCCGGGAGCCCGACCTGGACGCGGTGTTGCCGCTTGTTCATCTCGGTCTCCAGGCGCCGCTTCTGCTCCGTCTCCTCGCGCAGCCGCCGCTGCAGCTGCCCCTGCTGTTGCCGCATGAGCTGCACGTGCCGCTCGAGCTCCTGCAGCCGCTTCTCGCGCTGCGCCGACAGCGACGCCAGCCGCTCCGTCGCCTGCTTCCTCTCCTTCAGCACCTGGACCGACACAGCCTCCGCTGGGCCGCCGCCCGCCCACCCCTGCCAGACACTCCACCGAGATGGGCAGGACCCAAGGCTGGGGAAGCGATAGAAGGGAGGACAGAGGGGGACACACTCCCGGGGGGTGGGGAGTCATGGACCCAGGACATCAGACTGGCGATGGGGGCAGCCTGACGGTAACTAGGGACCAGGCACCCAGCAAGTATTCTGCATCAAGCAATCCTGACCTGCCTCTGGAAAAGCGGGATTACCATTATGCCTACTTTACAGCTTAGGAAACTGAGGCACCAACAGGTCAGGAAACCTGAGCAAGGACACGCAGCTAGTAAACGGCAGAGGTGGGATTCAAACCCAAGCAGTCGGGTCCCAGAGCCCGCACTCCCGATCATTCTACTAAGTGTCTACCGGACACCAGAACTGAGAAAAGGAAGGAAAGAGTGATAGCCAGCTGGACAGATGGACGGATGGAAGGGTGGGTGGACAGATGGATGGATCACAGAAGGGTAAAAAACAGGATGAAGAGATAATACAGCATCAAAAAAAGGCAAGAGAAAGACAAATTGACGGACAGATAAACGGACAGTGGGTCACATCCACTGTGACCAAAAGTGCTAGGGAAGATCATCGAAAGACGTGATCACTGGTTGACCCATGGGCTGGACCTGGGTGATCAGAGGCGCCTCACACCCTCCCTTGTCCTTGGAATGTGGGTTCTGCCTGCCTCACAGGGGGCTCCAAAGACATGGCCTTGAGACAGTGACGAGAAGCTGGGAACGCTGCACCGTTCCTAAGATGGAACCCGGTGAAGGCCTCTTGATAAACTTTCAAGATGTAGCAGGTGGGCATGGGGATCCGTCCAAGACAAGCTTTGTCAATAAATTCCCTTTGCTTATCAAACCTGCCACCTTCCAACCTGGAGTGGCTGCCTTTTTGGTCTCTCCCTGCCCTCCAGATGCGGGGACCGATTTAAGGTTATATCTGGGAAGCTCCCAAGGAGATTACCACTGAAGGAATGGACCTTGGGGAAAAAGGCATCAGGGGAGACCCTGAGCTGGTCACAGAGCTGTGTGTGTATGGCGGGGAGGGGCGGCTCCTATGTCAGACACTCGTGGACGGCCGCGGGAGGACAGGGACACCCTGAAGATGCTGGCTGATTTAGGGGATTGTGGGCTGGGGCAAAGAAGCAGAAGGCAAGGCTGTGCAGTGGGTTGGCCTTGACTGTGGGCAGTTCATGTGGCTACTGAGGCCCAGCCAGAGGCCTTGGCCTGAGTTAGAGTTAGAAGAGCTGAGATTAGAGACGGACGCGGGAATGTCCCCCAGTCTGCTGCTTTCTGAGCTGGTGGACAAAGTGGGAGAGCAGAATAATAAGCAAGTTATGAGGACGAGGGCACAAGACACCTCCGGTTGACATCTGGGCTTGTGACAAAGCCTGGTTCAGATGCTAAGAGAAGGACTCTCTAAGGAGGTGATCTGAATGAAGAGGAGAATGTTGTGGTAATTGAGGAGGAAACGGACAATGTGGCCCATGCCCCGGCACAAAGGAAAAATTTATTTATTTTTTTTAAGATTTTGAGAGAGAGAGAGTGCGAGCGAGCACAGAAGCAGGGGGAGCAGCAGGCAGGGCAGCAGACTCCTGGTTGAGCAAGGTGCCCGATGTGGGACTCGATCCCAGGACTCTGAGCAGAAGACAGACGCTTCACTGAGCCACCAAGGCTCCCCCACAAAGGCAAAAATTTAAAGAGCAATCACCCCAAAACTCCTAGAAGAAAACTTGCATGCTTTCTCTGCCCCTTAAATTTGTATCTTCCAAAGCCCTGCCCACAGAGACTAAAGAAAAAAGTGGGGGAGACCTTCTGCAAACTGCTGTCAGTTTCCTTGCCCCAAGTCCCGTCCAGAGCTTCTGGAAGATGAAGGGTACGAGTGTGGGTGTGCGGACAGTGATTCTCGGCTAGATGGCCGCAATGAAAGCCAAATGGATACAGGAAGTTGCAGGAGAGGTGTGGGAAGACTGGCGAGGGGCAGGACCTTAGGCTCGCTTCATCCTAGGGTACAACTACGTAACATTCACATTGGTCTAAAAGACCCAGAAAATGACCCAAGGATGGCAGATCAAACTCCACAACAAAATGCATCAAAAAGGGAGGGGCAGAGGTGTGGGGAGCTAAGTGGACCACAGGACTGTCCATGGGAGGGACAGATGCCAAGGAAGTAAAGAAGGGAGGGAAACCCTTACACCAGGGAGCCACCATGGGAGACAACCACCATAGCATTTGGCTTTGAAAACCAGAGAGGCCAAATTTTCAGAGTTGTTACAACTAGCAACTAGCATATTTCAAGCCTGGAACTATAAAATTCAGCAGGCTCAGCTCAGGGGAGAGCCCCGAGGGCGGCAGGAAGTCAAGTCCCTGCCCTTACAGAGACAGTACAACACATGAGCCAAGGAGATACCGCACAGAAGCAGAGGTTTGAAAAAATGCCTGGTGCATACGGGAGGGAGAGTAATTCACTAATCTCAGAGGTGTTCTGGAGGGACAGAGGTCACTGCGAGACTCCTCCAGGAACAGAGGAGCTGGAAGGCACCCTCCCACTCTTCTGCCCCCAGCATCAGTGCTCGGCCATCTGCAGGAACCAGGCAGCACCAACATTTACTACTCAACTTATGCACACTGAGCCCCATCCCATCCCACCATGCTCAAGTGGATCTGGGCCCTGCAGCCAGGCCTGCCGGAGTCCCAGCAAGACAGGAATCCTCCCCCAGAAGAAGGCCGCAAACCTTACAAACACTCTGTGCCCCATGCTTTACAGATCCACCTTCTCCAGCCCCGCAGTTGGTCCCAGGCATGGTGGCAGGTTCCCAGTCACCAGAGGACCAGTCTGCAAACCTTGCTAAAACTGGATGCCCTGTCCCTGTGCAGGTCGCATCTCTGCCCCCTTTAATCCGCTCTTGGAGGAGCCCATCCAAACCTGGGCCACAAGCGTGGCAGTGTGCAAACAGCCCCGACAGGAGGCAGCACCACTCCAAAGTGACTCTTGCCACCAAGGAGAGGGACCTGTGACCACACACACCAGACTGCAGTCCCATCAGTGGTTGGGCTGGGGGCAGACATCTGGTCAGGTTCTGGGCGACAGGGGACACTACACTGCAGGCACAATGGGACCTCTTCACCATAAGGGCACTGATTTCAAGAGCAGGAGCTGTAGCTAGCTTTCTGAACACACAGAAACAGACACAGAGTTAGACAAAATGAGGAGACAGAGGAATATGTCCCAAATGTAAGAACAGGACAAAAATCAGCAAAAGACCAAAGTGAAACAGAGATAAGTAACATGCCTGATAGAGAATTTAAATAATAAAGATTTAAATTTAAATAATAAATAACAAATTAATAACTTATTAATATAGTATATATACATATAATATACATAATATACATAATAAATTTAAATAATAAAGAATTTAAATAATAAAGGTACTCTCTGGACTTGAGAAAAGACTGACAGACATCAGTGAGACCCTCGACAAAGAGATTAAAGAAGAACCAGTCAGAGAATAGAATAAATGAAATGGAAAAGACACTAGAGAGAATAAGTAGACAAGAAAAAGCAGAAGAATGGAGGACAGAAATGGAAAGTAATCAAGGCAAGCAGGTGAGAGGGAAAAAAATATGCAAAATGAGAAGAGACTTAGGGAACTCAGTGACTCCCTCCAGTGTAGTAACATTTGCGTTATAAGGATCCAGAAGAAGAGGAAGAAAAGAGGGCAGAACATTTATTTCAAGAAATAATAGCTGAAAACTTCCATCATCTGGGGAAGGAAACAGATCCAGATCCAGGAGGTACAGAAACTCCCCCAACAAAATTAACCCAAGGAGGCCCAAACTAAGATATTTAGTAATTAAAACGGCAAAAAAATAGTGATAAAGAGAGAATTTTAAAAAGTTAAGAGGGGCACCTGGATGGCTCAGTCAGTTAAGCATCCACCTTCGGCTCAGGTCGTGGTCCCTGAGTCCCAGGATCAAGCCCCACATCTGGTTCCCTGCTCAGCGGAGAGCCAGCTTCTCCCTCTTCCTCTGCCTCTCCCCCAACTCATGTTCTCTCTCACTCTTGCTCGCTCTCTCTCAAATAAAATCTTTAAAAAAATAAATAAAATTAAAAAAAAAATAAAAGCAGTGAAGAGAAAACAGTTACGTACAACGGATTTTTCAGCAGAAACTTTGCAGGTCAGAAGAAAGTGGCCTTCTAAAATAGGAGTAATAATGAATTTCCCAAACAAAAGCTAAAGGAGCTCATGACCACTAAACCAGCCTTGCAAGAAATGTTAAATGTGGCTCTGAGTGGAAAGACCGTTAAGTAAGAGTAAAAAAAGTAGCAAGCACAAAAGCAGTAAAAATAAGTTTATTTGTAAAAATCAATGAAGAGACTCTTCAGAGGATGTCAAGTATGACACCATATACCTAAAATGTGGAGGGCAGGGGAGGAAAGAATGGGTTCAAACTCAACCCGCCCTCAACTGAAGATAGAATGCTACGTACAGAGAATATAAAACACAAATGTATTGGTAACCGCAAATCAAAAACCAGTAACAGATACACAAAAAATAAAGAGGAAGGAATCCAAGTATATCATTAAAGAAAGCCAGCAAACCGTGCGAGGAGAGAAAGAGAATAAAGGAACCAAGAGGAACTATCAAAAACACCATGAGATAAGTAACAAAATGGCAATAAGTACATACCTATCAGTAATTACTTGGAATGTAAATGGACTAAATGCTCCAATCAAAACACACAGGGTGACAGGATGGATAAAACAATAAGACTGATCTATGTGCTGCCTACAAGCGACACGTTTCAGACTGAAAGTCACCTGCAGATGGAAAGTGAGGGGATGGAGACCTTCATCATGCAAATGGCTGTGAAGACAGCCCGGGTAGCAGCACTGACAAGGGGCAAAATGGAATTTTGAACAAAGCCCGTAACAAGAGAGGACACTATACAGTC